TTGGATGGTTTCATTTTTCTTTCAGAAAAGTTTCCACTGAATTGAAAAGACACGTGTGGCGCACCTCGCACGCGCGGCGTCCGCACTCCGGCTTTTACTCAGATTTATCGCTTTATTGCGTAATTCGTCGACTCCTCGCGGAGAGCTTCGATGTCTCGAATGCCTGGCGCGCGGAACCGCGAAACCGCTTGGCAGGCGGCGTCATCTCGCGCGTCAAAACAAGGCAACAAATTAAAAGGAAAGATGGATCGGCCGTGACGCGAGCGCGGTTTTGCATGGCGGTGCCGTGGCGGTGCCGTGGCGGTGGAGACACAGAGACACACACTGCATGCTGATGGGGCTTGCAGCCTTGCACTGTGTGCCGATCGCTGCCGATGTGCCCGCACTCCGCGGAGTTCGTCTCAAGGGGTAACCAACTCAAGATTTTCATGTACACTGATTATATTTAGAGTATGATTACATGTGATTTCTTTTGATTATTTTATTATTTATCACTGATTATAGGAGGTTTTTATGTTGATTATTTGAGCGCCGACCTCGGAAAGCTGTTAAAGTGTCGGAAATTCAATATTGGTGACTTTGGGCAGCCACTGCGTCAAATTTAGTTGCGGTCATAGGCCTTCCTCGACGCCTTACTATTCTGAAGACCCCACTCTTTCATGCCCTGCCTCGGGAGGGCTTTGACCGCTGATGATTTGGGAGCAGTGGTCTCGCAAAAAGGGTCAAAAAGTGAATGAATTTCAGAAAATCACCGTTTTTGCTGACTTTGAGCGGTCACTGCATCCAATTTAGTTGCGGTCAAAGGCCTCCCTCGACGCTTTACTATTCTGAAGACCCTACTCTTTTATGCCCTGCCTCGGGAAGGCTTTGACCGCTGATAATTTGGGAGCAGTGGTCTCGCAAAAAGGGTCAAAAAGTGAATGAATTTCAGAAAATCACCAGTTTTGCTGACTTTGAGCGGTCACTGCATCCAATTTAGTTGCGGTCAAAGGCCTCCCTCGACGCCTTACTATTCTGAAGACCCTACTCTTTTATGCCCTGCCTCGGGAAAGCTTTGACCGCTGATAGTTTGGGAGCAGTGGTCTCGCAAAAATGGTTAAAAGTGATTGAATCCCCGAAAGTATGATTGTCATTTCATCGGATGATGTTGATTATTTCACAGAATTTCAACTAGACGTGCAATGATTATCTTGAGTTGGATACCCCCTGGTTCGTCTCCGGGAGAGTGCGTCTCCGAACGAGCGATCCATTGGTGGGGCAACACGCGAGGTTCGAGACCCATTTAGCGACTCTCTGGAGCTCAAAACGCGTCTAGAATTTTGACCGCCTCCACCTGACTTCTGGCCCGCGGCGCGGTGTTGGGTCTCCTGGCCTGGATGACTCGAAGAGGGCTCTGATTGTCGTCGTGGCCCTGCAAGGCCCTGCTGCAGGCCGGCCCGTGCCGCGCTGCCGCGTCCCCGTCGTGCCCCGCCAGCATGTCGCTCCGTCTCTCTCGCACGGCGGCACGCCCCACGAGTGCGAGAGAGACAGATGCAGTGGTTCGGGCAGGGCCGACGGGGTGGAGGGGCGAAGGTCGGGGGGCCCAACTCGGCGCAAAGCAGATCAGATACACAGATACGTCCCCCGATTTCCTCACGAAGGTCGCAAGACGTCTCCCCCCCCCCTCCTCCCGCACCTGACAGATTAGCCCCGGCCAGCTGGGGCCACGGGCACGGGCCAGCGGGCCGTCGTCGCTCTGTCTCTCTCGCACCTACACGGGAAGCCCCATGAGCGCGAGAGAGACAGACTCTCGGAGTGAGTCCGCCGCGCAGCTCATCTCACGAGAAGCAACGACATCAGGAAACAAGTTTGGCCGTAACTCGATAACGGGCTGCCTGGCGATGCAAGTGGCAAGAGCTGGGGGGGGGGGGGTCAGGTGCAAATTGTGGCGAGGTTGTGTTAGGTTCGTTGTGGCAACGGCCTGGCGTCCTCAAGGGGGAAGGCCGGGGAAGGCGGTCAAAAAAGAATCTGGAATTTGCATTATACGCTTTGCACACTGCCACCACTTACTCGGGTTACTACTCAAAAATTACCAATATTTTTTTCCGCTTGATTCGAATGTCTAATTTCTAGAGTGAAGGCGGTGTTGTTTTATTCGCAGCATTCCCTCTCGCACCTTCCCCACGTGTGGTCTCTCTCTCTCTCTCGCTCTCTCGCACTCGGGGCGCGCCCGAGGGCCTCGGATGGCAAGGGGTGTGAAGTGGGGAAGGTTGGCTGCCTGGCTGCCTGGCCGACTCGCATGCCTGGAATGGATTTGACGATTTGGGAAGCAAATGCCCGGGAGCGCGGCTGCAGTCTGAATACACCCCGCCGCCGCGGCGCACAGTGGGCCAGAAGACCGGTGGAGGCGGCCAAAACTCTCGACGCGTTTTGAGCTCCAGAGTCGCTACACATGACTCAAACTGAACGTACGACCCTACCAATGGATTCCTCGTTCGGAGTGCAATCCATTGGTGGGGTCACACGTTCGCTTCGAGTCCCGTATGGCGACTCTGGAGCTCAAAACGCGTCTAGAGTTTTGGCCGCCTCCACCGGTCTTCTGACCCACTGTGCGGCGCGGCACCGCCGCCGGCTTCAGGAAGGCCTGCCAGCGCTGCCGGGGTGGCCCGCTTTGCCCGCTTTGCCCGCCTTGGCTCGGTGGCTTCGTCAGGAGTATCAGCACATGTCAGCGAGCAAGGCGTTTATCCGCAGCATCGCCGACAGCAAGGCGCAGCGAGGGGCCGGGCTAAAATCGGCTGCCGGCCCCACGTGACTTTCTGGGAAGGACTCCGCCATGAGCGCAACAAAGTCGGTTGCTTTTTCGTAATTTTTTGGAACCAACAAATGATGGTGCTCCACCACGCCACAGTGGGCCAGAAGACCGGTGGAGGCGGTCAAAATCACGGACACGTTTTGAGCTCCAGAGTCGCTACATGGGACTCGAACCGAACGAGACCCCACCAATGGATTTCAGCGTCTAAGAGTTGTGGCCGCCTCCGACGGTCTTCTGGCCCACTGAGCACCAAAGGCAGTGCTTCCAAAAAAAGTAAATCAAATAAAAACAGCTGCAGGATTCGCAGCGGCAAAGTGCGAACCTCCGGTGCGAACCGAGGCCGGCGGGCCACTTTGCTTCAGGTTGGGGACTTTTCGGACGCCTCGGCAAGCTCTTCCGTCAGTCCTTCGACACACACGCACACACACATACAGACACACACAGGCGCACACACACAGACTCACTCACACTCACTCACGGCACCTGGCAGGGCGCGGCAGGGCGCGGCGGGGCGCGGCGGGGCGCGGCGGGGCACGGCAAGGAGGGACCGGAGGGGCTCAAGAAGGCCCCCCGGCAACGCGGCTGCGCGGCAACGCGTGTTGTTGTGTAGTCTAGATGGTGGGATTTCCGACCTCACAAAACAAGCCGCGTCGTCTGCTCGCTCCCCCTCCCCTCCCCTGCCAGCGCGTTTGGATGTCAATCGAGTGTGAGGAGCGATGAGTGCGTAAAGGAAGCCTCGCCCCGCCCGACGCACAGTGGGCCAGAAGGCCGGGGCAGACGGCCAAAAATCTAGAGCTTCGGAGTCGCTGAACAGCACTCGAACCGAGCGTGTGACCCCACCAACGGATTCCCCGTTCGGAGAGCAGCCCATTGGTGGGGTCACACGTTCGGTTCGAGTCCCCTTTAGCGACTCTAGGCTCAAAACGCGTCCGGGATTTTGGCCGCCTCCGCCGGTCTTCTGGCCCACTGCGCGCCAACTCTCTGATTCCGCAGCGACAAATGGCGGTGAACGAGGCGGACGAGGGGAGCACGCACTTCGGCGGCCGCCCTTCATTCTTCGTCCTTCAGCAGACTGACAGTCTCTCTCGCACTCGCGGGGCGCGCCGTGTCGGTGCGGGAGAGACAGACACAGTCTGCAGGTCCAGTGTCGTGATTGAGAGACGCCGTCCTTCACACCTCTGGACACCTGCTTCGATTCCCCGCAATTCCTCCCCTAATTCTGCCCCGGCCCCGACCTTCAAGCCACAGCCGTCGAAGGCCAGCTTTGTTTACTTCGCCCACTTTTCTCACTTTAAAACACGAGATGATTACGTGACGGAATCAGATTGATGGAACTGAACTCTCATTATTAAAAAGTTTGAAAGTCCCGCTCAGCGCACAGTCTGCCGACGCGTCCTGCTGGAGTGACTTTTAGCTGGCGCCAGGCACTTTAGGCCGAAATTGGAGCTCTCAGTTTTAGACGGAGCCTGGGGGAGGGGTGTGTGTGTGTGTGTGCATGTGTTGGTGGTCGTTTCCTGACCAGGCCGGCGGCTGTCCACAGGCATGCTCTCGACGGCGTGCGGCGCGTCGCGGCATAAGAGCTCGTCGACGCCGCTGCACAAGCCGTCGCCGGCGGCCGTGGCCAACATCCGGGACCGCGACGGTCGCGACGGCCGGGACGGCGTGGCCTCTCTGGGCCGCCACCCGGCCGCCCTCGCCAACTCGGCCTTCTCCTCGCCCTTCGGCGCTGCCTTCAGCCCCGGATGCAGCCCCGGCTTCGGCCCGTCACCCACCGCCAAGAGTGAGTACAAGACCTCCAGGACTTTGTTCCTCAGAGAGGATATCCTTTACAAGCGCGCGGTCGGTCCGCCCCGGAGGCCGGGGACCCGCCGGGGAAGGGGTGTTTGCAGAGGACTCAGTCGCTCTCTGTAGTATTGACACCCCCCACCCCGGGGCGGGCCGCACCGCCGCGCGCCGCCCCGCGCCGCCCCGCGCCGTGCTGACATGGTGGCCCGCGCCGTGGCCCTTGCAGAGGACGTGCAGGTGGAGGTCGCCGACAAGGGCTACAAGTCTTACGTGGTGCCGACGCCGTCGCCGGACGAGCTGACGGGCTCCGAGGACAGCGACGACACCGCCGCCGAGGACGACGCCGTCCTGGACGTCCTGGACACGACGCCGGCCGCCGTGGCCGCCACCGCCTGCCCGGGCGGCGCGGGCGGCGGCAGTGGCGGTGGCGGCGGCGGCAGCGCGGTCGTCAGAAAAAAGCGCAAGAAGCACAAGAAGGCGCGGAAGGAGGTGGTAGTGGCGCAGACGCCGTTCCAACCCGCCCTGGACCCCGAGAGGGAGACCTGGGGCCGCAACGCCGACTTCCTCCTGTCCATCATCGGCTTCGCCGTGGACCTCGCCAACGTGTGGCGGTTTCCCTACCTGTGCTACCGGAACGGGGGCGGTAAGCACAAAACCACAAAAAATGTCCTGGGGATTTGAACCCGCGGCTGAACCTTCATTCCCTTTCTCCAGGCGCGTTCCTAGTGCCATACACCCTAATGCTGGTGTTCGGCGCCGTGCCGCTCTTCTACATGGAGCTCATCCTCGGACAGTACAACCGCCAGGGGCCCATCAGCGTCTGGAGAGTGTGTCCGCTCTTCAAGGGTGAGTTCCTATGGTTCAGCACCACGCCAGTGCCACTTTTTTTTTTTTAAAAAATTGTTTTATATTGTTTAGGGGTTTGTCTACGGGATTGTCCTTTTTTCAGGTGTCGGCTTCTGCGCCGTCATGGTGGCCTTCTACGTGTCCTTCTACTACAACGTCATCATCGGCTGGGCGCTGTACTTCATGGCCGCCAGCGCGGCGGTGGAGCTGCCGTGGCTGCACTGCAACAACACCTGGAACACGGAGTGGTGCTGGGAGTCGGGCACCGCGCCGGCCAACACCTCCAACCTCACCGGCCTGGTCGTCGGCAACCTCAGCAGTTCAAAGTCAGTGCGGGCTAAAACCTCACTTTACCTCAAGTCAGCTCGTCTGAGTTCGCCTTACCTCCCTTGAGTTGACCTAACCTCACCTGACCCCGTCGCTGCAGGCTGCACCACTCGCCGGCCGCCGAGTACTTCCACCGCGGCGTCCTGGAGATGCAGTGGAGCGAGGGCCTGCACGACGTGGGCTCCCCGAAGTGGCAGCTGGTGGTGTGCGTGGGGCTGGTGTACTGCATGCTGTACCTGTCGCTCTTCAAGGGCGTCAAGTCCTCGGGGCTGGTGGTGTGGGTCACCGCCACCATGCCCTACGTCGTGCTCACCATCCTGCTCATCCGCGGCCTCATGCTGCCCGGCGCCCTCACCGGCATCCAGTACTACCTGCAGCCCGAGCTGGCCCGTCTGCAGGACACGCAGGTGAGGGTTCGACTCCCGCCGGTGCCGTTGTTTTTCCGCTGGTTTTCACTGCCGCCTCCGCGCCTTGCGGCGATTGGGATCATCGAAGGGCATTAAATTTTAACTTTTAATTGAACAAAAACTTGGCGGGGCTTTACCGCCGCGTCGAATGCCTCGTTCTCGTTACGATGCAAATGGACCGGCCGGGATTATCTCGACCGTCTTGCTTCATTTCCCTCGCTTTTTATTTTTATTTTTTTTATTCCGTCGGTTTCCCGCCTTTTCTTCCCTTCATTGTGTTGCGATGCCTCGGCTCGCGCTTCCGCAGTGTCGCCACTTCTCGCTGATTGCGCGTCGCCTCATGAGGAAGACTGAGACGAAGACGGAGAGGAAGACGAAGACGAAGACGGACATGAAGGCGAAGACGGAGAGGAAGGCGAGGACGAAGACAGGCTCGTGGAGGCAAAGTCGGTGCGGCAAAGCCGGTGCGGCGGTTCGCACCCGTGCCGGGCCGTGTCGGGGATGGGGAGGCTCGTGTGACGAGTGAGTGATATTCGATGTAGTGGGCGGAGTGCAGCCCGCTCAGGGAGGCTCTGGTCTATCCGCCCGTCCCCGCCCCTACACTACTCACCACGAGAGTCCCCCCCCCCCTCCTCCACCAATTGACTACGCCCTCACTTTCGCTCTCCATCAGCAGCAGAGCGACGGCAGCGCGACCGACAAAGTGATCCGCTAATTAAAATTCACCTCGTCGACACAATCGCGGTGGCGGGCCATGGGCCGCACCGCAGACTCGTTCCGGTCGCTCTGTCTCTCTCGCACCTACACGGCACGTCCCATGAGTGCGAGAGAGACGCAGCGAGGAAAAGGACGCTCTGAATCCGACTCCTGGCTGTTCCAGAAAGCGACCCACTAGTTTGCTACCTGTCGGTTTGGCCAGCGGGCGCGCTGCAATGACTCGATCTTTGCGAGTTCCACTGCCCCAAACTGGATTCCAATGGGGAACGTGGAGATAATACCAGTGTGCTGCCCTTGCCCTTCGGACGAGGAAGTGCCCTCATGTGCTCGACGCGGGCCCGTCTGGCTGGGCGGCACACGAATACAACACAAGGGTACCTCCGGACTGCCCTCCGAACGAGGAATCCATCAGTGCCCTCACACGTTGTATTTAGTCCCTTTAAGGACTGCGCAGCTCAAAGCGCGAGTCAGCCAAAGGGCCGCGGAGGGGCAAAGGCGGGCAAAGGCGGGCAAAGGGCATGGCGGAGCGAAGGGCCGAAGGGCAGCACAATGGCCTGTTGCTGGCCTCGGTCTTGATGGGGGTGCTTGTCAGGGCTCTGTCTCTCTCGCACCCCTGCGGGCTCTGGGCCCCGCTCCATGCGTGTGACAGAGACAGTAGCGACAACCAGTCTGCGGGACGCGGCGACGCGGCGTGCAATCAGGCGAGGCGTGACAGTCCGGAGGTTCAACTCCCGCTTCCGGACAAATATTTTGTAGTGTCGCTGCCGTTGTGCCCCTTTCAAAGACGGGCTTTGTGGCCGTTTGCCCGCGCAGAAACCACGTCACGCCGCAGTGGCGGATCCAACGACGGCCTGAAGGGAGTGGGTCCAAGTAGCACTTTTTGCTTACTTACAGGAGCAAAGTGTTGCTTTTTGACCCGTCCCGTGTGCGAGGACTTCCCGTGGTCCGATCTTCACCAAATTTGGTATGCAGCCTCCTTGGGTGACCCTAAGAACCCCTATAGGGGTATTTTTGGAATCAGGGCGGCGAGACAAATCCAACGGTGCCATTTTCGATCGAATCGGAGAAGTTTCGCTCAAATCCCAGTGGGGTATATTTTGGACATTCTTTTTATTCAAGTTTTTGCATTGTTGTTGTTGTTTCTGGGGCGCTGGTTACCAAATTAACATCTATTTTGACCCCAGACTCAGGTTCATATCCCGTTCGGGTTAAACACAGGCGAAATTCGCACATTTCTAGATGTACTGGACGGGCCAAAGTTGCCGATGTATATCGCCACTTTTCCTGTTTGGCTACCTTTCAGGCGGCTATCAAGGGATCAAGATAGGGGCAAGTGTCCTTTTGCCGCCCCCCCCCCCCCCGATCCGCGCTTGTCTCGCCCACGTGGGCTCCTCGGCCCAGCTCGAATCCACTGCACTGGATTCCTCATACTGCTCTTAATGTCAGCGCTGCGGACAGGCAATAACACGGCAGCAGTCGCGCTGTCTCTGTCGCACTCGCGGGGCGCCCTGTAGGACCTGTGGGAGGTGCGAGAGAGACAGCGCAACGAAGCTCGGTCAGTCTGTTTACCTGGCCTGGCCTCTGCCGCCACTCCAGTGGCACGGAAGTCCCCCCCCTCTCGTCACCACCACTGCCATTGTGTTCTTGACCGAGAAATTCGTTTTCTTCCGCGCAGACCGAACACGGCGCACGTGGGCAGGGAGGGAGGGGGTAGCGACGGCTGAGTGCCGCCACGTGCGCATTTGGCGATACTCCACGTTTATATCTGATGGATGTCCGTCCGTCCGCAGCGCGGCGATACTCCACGTTCGTTGCGCGTCCGATCCTCCGTCCGCAGCGCGGCGATACTCAACGTTTGTTGCGCGGGCGAACCTCCGTCTGCAGCGCGGCGATACTCCACGTTGGTTGTGCAGGCCATCCACCATCCGCAGCGCGGCGATACTCCACGTTGGTTGCGCGGGCGATCCTCCGTCCGCAGTGCGGCGATACTCCACGCGATTCTTCCGACGCGCACTGAAGGGACGGGGACAGGCCTTCGCCTTTGTGGAACCTCGTGCCAGCCGTCTTGAAGCATCTTTGAGTGTTCCGTCTCTGTCGCTCTGCGGCGCGACTGCGCGACTGCGCGGCCCCGACGTACAGCGCTGCCAACTTGACAGTTCTTTTGTCTAGTCTCTGCAGAGCTCAAGTCAGGAGGGGAATCCGCCACGGCCCGCCGCAAAGTTTTGTTTTACAGATATCTATCAGCGTGGCAGCCCTGGTGGGATGACGGCCGGGGCAGGCCGAGGGACCGGGAAAAGCTTTTCCCGCTTCCCATAGCTTCAGCAGCTTGGATTCCCGCGCTTTTTTTGTAGTGTTGCGGTACCTGGTTCGAGGGGCTGGTCCGCCCGGTTCACCGCGTCGCAGCGCCTTTTCAAGCCGAACTACACCGTATTGGTGACCGCCGCCTTTCAGCCCCGGAATAAAAGATATTGCTTCGCTCCAAACAAAAACAACAACAACAAACAACAAGAAAAGCGTCGTGGCCTGGCCGACTGGCCCGTATTGGCGGCGGCCGCCAAAAAGGGTCCAACACGGTAGAAGCAACTTAGGTAGGGGGCTGTCTTTGGAATCTCTCATAACCGAGGGGCAGGCCGTCGACGGCAGAGGCAGCCTTGACCGGCACGACATTCGACCTCGGTCAGGTCAGGTCCGTTCGGTGCGGCACGATGGGCCAGAAGACCAGTGGAGGCGGCCGAAATTCTAGACGCGTGTTGAGCTCCGCTCCAGAGTCGCTAAATGACCCCACCAATCGATTCCTCGTGCGGACAGCAATCCATAGGTGGGGTCACACGTTCGGTTCGAGTCCCATGTAGCGACTCTGGAGCTACAAACACGTTCGGGATTTTGACCGCCTCCACCGGTCTTCTGGTCCACTGTGCGGGGCTTCGTCCGCCGATTCATGAGATGAGCAGCGGGGCGGCCTTCCTGGCCTTTCAGGCCGACACCCGGACCAGCCAGAGGGGAGGGAGATGAAGAAAGAAGTAGCGGCGCCGGGGATCGAACCCGCCGAAGGCCGAGGATAAGTTTCGAAAGTGACGGCGGGCGCGTCTGCGCACCGCGCGCCCGCAGACCGGCGGGTAGGCCAGCCCGCCGCGCTCCGCTGTCCGCCGGCGGCCTGCCTCGCATTACCATTACCATTACGGGCTACAGTTGATCGCGTGCCGTTTCAGCCTCCCTGCCCGAGCAGCCAGATTCCGCTGTCTCTCTCGCACCCGGGCGGGACACCCCATGAGTGCGAAAGAGGCAGAGCGACAAAAAATGAATCAGTCTGCTGTCCGACTCCTGGAGGAAGAAACCGACCGCGCTTTCACCGCCCACCGGAACAATGGCGCTTTCAAGCTTTCAAGCTTTTCGAGCATTCAAGCTTTCGCGCCTTGCCGCGCACAACAGTTGGAGGCGGCTAATCACGTCATCGCGTCACCCGGCCCACTGGCCCGCGTCATCGGCTGCCACTAGTGCTGCCGCCCCGCCGCCCGCCCCCGCCGCCCCGCCGCCCGATCGGCGCGCCCTGCAGACTGAGAGTCGCGTTCGTCGCGCTGCCCCCGCCCCCACCCGCCCCCGGCGAACGCGCCACGCTGTTTGCGGACGGAAGGGGGGCCAGAGCGACGAAAGCGACTCTCTGCCGGCAGCACGCCAGATTAAACCCCGGCGCCAAACGGACGGAACGCGGCGGGCCGGACTAAACAGCCGGCGGGTCGTGGCTTGGTCTAAATTTTGCGAAATTTTATCGTTTTTCGTAAACGGCAGGCGCGACGAGTGTCACGAACAGGGCGCAAAAGTCAAGAAAGGGTGTCTCGAAAACGAGTAGTCGAATGCGCCGTCGAGAGCGGCCTGGTTTTCGAGATGCAGACGCTTTAAGTGTTTGTTAAGTTGGCACACCCGGGAGTCCCTGCAGACTGATTCCGAGAGTTCGTCACTCTCTCTCTCTCTCTCTCTCTCTCTCTCTCTCTCTCTCTCTCTCTCTCTCTCGCATAACGGGGACTCCCCGCCGTGAGTGCGAGAGAGACAGAGCGACGAACTCTCGGAATGTGGACGGATGCCTAATTGCTGGGCTGCGTCGGGCGGGACTTGCGCAGACTTGCGGTGACCGCGCACACTACACTGTGCGCCGCTGTGCGCCCTTTGATGTGACAACAACGACGCGTGCGGCCATAAACAACCAACTATACACTTAGACCGCCTGCTCCGTGAAAAAACCGTGAGGCTGTCTTACGCAGCTCCCTGATTGGTCGGAATACTACACGCTCCCCCCCGCACCCACAAAAAAGTGAACGGCAAACAAAAAACCGTATACGGCAAATCAAAAACCGTATACGGCAAACAAAAAACCGTATACGGCAAACAAAACCGTATACGGCAAACAAAATCCGTATACGGCAATCAAAAAACCGTATACGGCAAACAAAAAACCGTATACGGCAAATCAGTTGGTTGTCTATAGCGCGGCAGTGCGGCGCCCCTCCACGAGTTCCACGTGTTCCAGGTGTGGGTCGACGCGGCGGTGCAGATCTTCTACTCGGTGGGCGCGGGCTTCGGCGTGCACCTGTCCTACGCCTCGTACAACCGCTTCGACAACAACTGCTACAAGTAAGTGCAGTGCGCAGTGGGCCAAGGCCGATTGAGGCGGCCGCAATTGGCGGCTCCAGAGTGGCCGAACAGGACTCGTACCGAACGTGTGGCCCCACCAATGGATTCCTCGTTCAGAGAGCAATCCATTGGTTGGGTCACACGTTCGATCTGAGTCCCATTTAGCGACTCTGGATAATATGGGCGAACACTGCACCATCGCTCTGCTTGACGTTCCTCAGCGACTGCCTCATCACCACCGCCGTCAACTGCTTCACGTCCTTCTTCTCCGGCTTCGTCATCTTCACCTACCTGGGCTTCATGTCGCACAAGCAGGGCATCCCCATCAGCAACGTGGCCACGGAGGGTGAGCCAAAACACGCGTTTTGAGCTCCAGAGTCGCTAGGACTCGAGTCCTCGAACCGAACGTGTGACCCCACCGATGGATTCCTCCCTTGGAGAGCAGTCCATTGGTGGGGTCACACATTCGGTTCGAGTCCCATTTAGCGACACTGAAGCTCAAAACCCATCCGGCATTTTAACTGCCGCCACCGGTCTTCTGTGGATCTCTGTCCGACTGATGCCTGCGTGCCGCTGCGTGCCCACAGGCCCCGGCCTGGTGTTCCAAGTCTACCCCGAGGCGGTGGCCACGCTGCCCGGCTCGCACTTCTGGTCCATCCTGTTCTTCTTCATGCTCATCATGCTGGGCCTCGACAGCGCGGTAAGTGCTGAGATAGCCGTGAGGTCAGGGCTCCGCGCCGGCGAGGGTAGGGATGGAAGTTCGATTCCCTGTGGTTACTCTATTTTTTCAGATGGGCGGCATGGAGTGCGTAATCACGGGGCTGATGGACGAGTTCCACGACTTCTTCCACGGCCGGCGCTACGCGCGGGAGGTCTTCACCTTCTGCGCCATCTGCGTCAGCTTCTGCGTGGCGCTCATCAACGTCACGCCCGGCGGCATCTACATGTTCCACCTGTTCGACAACTACTCCGCCGGCATCTCCCTGCTCTGCTCCGCGCTCTTCGAGGCCATCGCCGTGTCCTGGTTCTACGGTGCGTCCTGGCAATTCTTGCCTACATGCGTGCGGCAACGCACTGTGGATCAGAAGGCTGGTGGAGGCGCGTTTTGAGCTCCAGAGTCGCTAAACAGGGCTCGAACCGAGCGTGTGACCCCAGCAATGGGTTCCTCGTTCGGAGAGCAATCCATTGCTCACACGTTCGGTTCGAGTCCCATTTAGCGACTCTGGAGCTCAAAACGCGTCCAAGTTTTGGCCGCCTCCACCGGTCTTCTGGCCCACTGCGCAACGCTGCCGCAAAAGGCCAGCCACCCCTCCTGCTTTCTGGCTTGGATAGGTAATATCAAGTCACAATCGCCCACAGGCCTGGAGCGGTTCTCCCAGGACGTCCACGCCATGCTGGGGTTCACGCCGGGCCTCTACTGGCGCATCTGCTGGAAGTTCATCAGCCCGCTCTTCATCATCGTAAGTGCACTCCATACCAACCTCGCCGAGCGAAACTACGCTGCAACTTGGTGCCTTGCGTGCGTTGCAGGGCGTCGTCATGTTCGGGCTGCTGTACCACCAGCCGCTGCAGTACAACGAGTACCACTACCCGGCCTGGGCCGAGCTGCTGGGCTGGGGCCTGGCCATGTCGTCCATCATCATGATCCCCCTCGTCGCCACCCTGCAGATCGTCAAGACGCCCGGCACCTTCAAGGAGGTCAGCCAAGTTCTTGTTCTTAATGTTTTTCTTTTTTTCCCTTTTTTTAAAGTTGGCTGCATTTTTGTGCCCCTTGCAGCGGATCGCCATCAACATCTCGCCGGTGGAAGAGCACGAGCACATCCGGCGGACCAAGGAGGTGACGCGCTTCAAGGCGAGGCACTGGTTGTACGTGTGAGCGACGAGAGCGCTGCGAGCGGACAGCGGCGGGCAGCCGAGGCCGCATATTCACTGCATTCACGTCGTTCAAACCGGCCGAGGCAGGCAGCCAGGCGGCCAGGCTCAGCCCTGCTCAGCCTGAGGTTCCGGCCGTTCCGGCACCCCGTGCAGAGGTAGCAGGTCTGCCAACGCACGGCGCGGAACCCACCAACCGGCCGCACTCAATGTAGGCGTGCGATACAAAGTTTCGCCACAGAGTCGTTTATTTAGTCGTAAATGTGTGCTTTATGTTCTGGCCGACTTTGCTTTGGGTTTGAGAGACGCTAGGCGGTGCTATATTGTGTTTGCTTTGTTATTTGGCTCCCTTCAGGTAAGGACAATCAGTCATATCAATGAAAGGGTATCGAAGGCTCGGAACGATTTGAGATGCAAGTCGAAAACTGTTTTGGAGTTACGGGTGTGGTATACAGGCAAAGTTCTCTCGTTGACTTAACTTTGTACATAATCAAGCGCTGTCAGAAGTCAAGCCCAAACTTCGTCAAATGCCGCATTGTTGGGGTTATCCCATCTTTTGGCGAACTTTGGACTAAATTTTTAGCAGTGCAGTTCTTTATGAAATCGAGGGATGTAGGACCGGATCTCATATGTAATAATAATAATATAATAATAATAATAATAATAATAATAATAATAATAATAATAATAATAATAATAATAATAATAATAGTGTGGAAAATGAAAGAATTGGCGTGTGGCAAGGGCCCTCAAAGGAAAGAAGAGCAGCCACTTTCATTTATAAAGTAATAGGAAAAGTTGATTTCATTCCAGAGTGACTTAGGCTAAAAAAATCTGTTATGTTAGGGACGGGTGTATGTTTGATCCCCTGCAGGTAGGTTTGTCCATTGCCACTGCTTAACGGGTTCAATTGAATGAAAATAAATATTTTGATGTTTGCTCCGCTGCGGTGGTGGTGTTTGAGGTGGTGGTGGTTGTGGGCAAACCTGTCCTGCAACGGGCTTTCCGCCGCTGTAAGTACTCGGGATTTAGCAAAGCCATTTAGACCAGTTCCCTTTCCGCAAAACATAAATAAATAAAATAGAAGTAACTGTAGAGCTTCGATGTACCGCAGTCGTACTTTGAATTCGCTTGTAGAGTCGTAGAGGTGGCCCCCCTGCGGGCCCTGCGAGGGAATACCAGCCTAGGAAGACTTGCTAGCCGCTAGCGCCACCAGCGTCGCGGGCGCGAAGTACGTCAGAAAGTCGAGTCGAATGGGTTGCCTACCTTCTGGGCTGCGGGCAGCATGAGGAGCTGGCCTTCTTTCGTGGTACGGCTGTCTCAGAGACGATGTCGTGAATTTTGTCAATGTTGATGAAATCCCTCACTTCCAAGATGTAATAGAGCGTAATTTTTCGTTTTTCCTGGGGGTGAGTTGGGCTTTGGTTTTCCAGAGATGGCAGTAGGGAAGGCGCGTGCACGCGTGCACCTGGATGCCCCTCTCCCTCCGCCCCTTCCCATTCTCCCCATCGCTTGCCCCTTCACTCTCTGTTCTGGTCTTACTCACCTGCACTTCCTCAAAATGCTTCAGTTGTACAACTATTTTTTTCGTAATTTCTATTTTTTCTCTTTTCTATAAAAAAATAATTAGAAGCAAATGAAATTTGACATTACCTCTTTGTGGTGAAATGAATCAGAGGGGCTAAAGTTATGTTTTAATGAATTGTACCTGATGCAAACATATTAATAATGAAGCGTTTTAATTGATAGCTCTATTTTGTTTCTGGTAGAAAGAGTATCGTCATGTGAGAGCAAAAGGCACCAACAGATTACCTTATTAAGTTTGTGCCCACATTTTTGTAGCAAAGAAAAATGCTCTGACTTGATAAACCAACTTAAAATCGAAACAGGCTATGTGCGGTAATCTAAGTGAATGATATGAATAAACTTGAGAACTAGAAACCTGCTCAATAAAGAATGGCCAATATAGTTTCTAATGTGCTTGGTGCTCCATGCTGTGTCCACAGCCTAATATTTGAATTTTGTTTTAGTTAGTCTGCCGGATATGCTCATGAGCGTGGTGCGTCTGTATACTAAGAGACCAAAGTGTAGGCCATCACATATCACTATTTTTCAAATACGTACCCGCTCATCTCTTTCGCTTGATATGCTGCGTGCCAAATTTAGAGTTGATTGTCTAATCTGTTACCTAAATTTCCAAAATCAAAATCTTTTGTCATCTGTGAGGGTCTCTAGCAAATGATAGGACTTTGAGCCTACCCATTTCTCTACATACTCCTCTAAAATATGATGCAATAGTATTTTTTCTGAGTAAATGTGTCATTATTGCATTAGACTCTCAAATTTTCTACAAATACAGATGTATACAAATGCTACGAAGCTTTTCACAAGATGTTAGTAAATTATTTATTGTCAAAAGAGGTTAAGTTAGAACAGCTAGAAAATGTTGCCTAGGTTTTAGGAAAGAGAAATGCCAGCCCACTGGACAATAAAGGAGAAACAAAACAGACCCTTAGTTGTTTAAGTTAAAAATTGTTTGGTTTTTTTTACTCTATTGCCTTTTGTTCTCCCCCCACCCCTTTTCCCCTACTGCCGCCTACTGCAAAAAGAAGAAATTTCCAAGTAGTGAAGACACAGTGATGGACAGGTATGCTGATTTAAATGTGCACTAGTACAGTGGAGAACCGAAATTAGCATTTATTTTTCTGTGGATAGTACATTTAATTAACAGCTAAGATGGTAAACTGCAAACAAGTTTTAGGTCTTAACAAATGTTAAAAATTTAACACAAAAATAGTTTGATAGAGACAACACGTTGTCTATTTAGAGGAGCCAAATGATGCAATGAAGAAAGAGCTAGTAAGTTAAAATGGAAAGGAGATGTAAACAATGATGTTCACATCTCAGGCATGAAAACCAAGGGAAAGGAAGGAGGGGAAAAGGTGAACTTGTTAATATAAGAGACTAACGTTTTTGTATCTGAAGGTACCTCACATCAATCCTCAGCCATCTCATTTAGCAATGCAATCATCCTTGTTTTGTTTCTCTCCTATTCAGAAGGACATGCAAATTAATAGAAAACAAGGGAATACTACAAGCATAACAGCACCAAAAAAAAATCTAATACTAAACCAAAAGATTTTGTGCTTTGTCTTGAGCCTTGGTAAAGTCTGCACAAACAGACAGAAGAGACCTGTAGACAGTATCCTTGGAGAGGCTCGGATAATATTATTGGTGGAGTTAGCCTCTTACTTTTGAGCAAACAATTTTCCCGAAACTCTAGATGCTTGATTCTTTTTCATAGAAGATGGTACTTTAGACTCACAGGAAAGAAGAGATTAACACCTTCAAAACGGGCACAGATTTTTTTTTAACAACATGAAAAGAAAAATTTTAATTCTAGGCAATATTAAAAAGGGCTACATGCACCAGGGCACCTCATATTTTCAATATTCTTAGGGTAATAAATTCATACATTAATAAGTGACTAGAACCTTGACAAAACCTTTGTTAAATGTACACAGTAGAGAGACAATGTTTGGTGTAACTTATGAACAACAAAACGGATCTGGAAACAAACAGTTAGCAAATTAGTCTTGCAGACTCAAGTGCCCACCTTGTTTAACTCAAATAGAAACCTAATATTGCTGACAAAATTTTTGATGAACCAGAAACAAAAATTTGATTCAAGGTAATTTCAAAACCTAATGTTAATTTTGAAGAGAAAAAAAAAACACATCAAAGGTATGCCTCCATTTTTAACGGGTTAAAGTCAATCTTGGACAACACTTCGCATGTTCACTGAGAAATACACCTCTTCAAACCAGAGCCTCTAAAAATCTGCTTTTCATTAATCTTTCTCTTGTATGTAAAATAAGCTCTGAAAACTACTTGTCGCTCCAGCCAGCTTAACTGTTCATCATACCGAAAATATATCATAGCCTGCAGCAAAACAACTAGATGTTTATACTGATGATTTTAACATAAAATCTTTTAATTATAAAATGAAATAGATACACAAATATCTTGGAAGCTAATTTGAGCTTACAAATAAATAATAATAATAGTGTAACAAAAAAATAACTTAAAAGTCTGGCATACACTTAGCACATATCCTCACAATATATCACATAATACTTCAAAAGAGACCATTTAAAGGGGTTCATTAAAAATTGGCTCCAGTCACTTTCTTCTCCAACAACATTCCGGACATAACAGTCAACCCTCCATTGCAGAATTTAACACTTTAAATGCACTGTAAATCCGTTCTACCACAAAATACAAACGGAAAAATTAGATGGTAAACTAGTAACTTGCCATTAGCCCTGCTGATGGCTCCCTGACTTTACATTGTTCTTTTGGAAGTTCTCTGAGCTAAATAAATATGATAGGCATTACATGACAGAAACATTAGAAAAGTAACAAAACAGTTCTCATTAATATCTATCTGCATACTTCTTGTGGATGGACTTAAGAAACCAGCATTTAATAAAGAGGAGCTGGTTTTTTATTCTGCAGAAACAGTGTGCCTTTATTCACACACCTTACTGTTAACTAAGTGAGACATTGAACTTTTTTTAGGAAGAAATTTCAAAACAATGATGACAGACCGATTTTGTATATTATATGAATTTATAATACATCATTCAAAAATTAGTCCAAACAACCCCAAGATACTACCATTATTCAAGAACATATCCCTTAATTTCCTACCACATATCTTTCCTAGCATAAGCTGAGATGCTGCCATTAGATGGTCTTTAGTTGCCCAGCCTCAGCATCCTCAAATTACTTAAACCAGAACACACAAAGTAGTGTTTGGTAGTTTAGGACTGAAAAAGCACCTGCATGAGTAAAAACAAAGAAGATTTCCATCAAGGGTGATGTAGAAGCAAAACTTACTCAGCACACTCACTAAAAAAATACCATGACTATTTTGTTGTATTATTGAGATCTTTAACACTATATTTGCTGTTCTAAAAATCCAGAGATCAGAAATGAAGACTGTTTCAAATCCATATCCAATAAAACAAATAACACTGAGGCGAAACAAGGAACAAATGAGTTGCCAGAAGCAAGCTGAGATTTCTTGCATCACTGTCCAACAATTTTCTTATTTTAATGGCAGGTTTAAAACAAAATCCTAGGGACACCTTTGCTACAAACATGTAACACTTCAATGCATAAAATTACAAATAACACAATGCTTAACAATTTCCACCAAATTTTAAAAAGGGAAAGAAACTAAGAACTTCACTTTTCACACAAATCAAATGACCCTGGATTGAATGCAAAATTCAATTGATCGAAGGCAGAGATGAAAGTGAGAATGATGGTTTCTACAGACTGAAACGGATCCTATATAACAATAGAGGACATGTGACTGCTGAGTTGGATTGATTAGAAGTCAACTCATGGAAGTGAAATAGAAAAGCAAATACTTATGGAATTGTGAGTCACTCCTTGATTTTAACAATTGGTTCATTAGTTCGGAATAATACTGTACAGAGTCCAACCACCGGGTTAGATATGCATAGAATCTTTAAAGCATACAGATTCCCAGCTACATTCAGATATGAACATGAAATACAGAGATATGGAGACTAGGAATAATAATAATAATAAGGATATGGATAGACACCTTGCATCATCATATACTGGCTACATTCTTCACATGGGCATATCATGGGTTGCGCCACATGCGTATAATAATAAGGTATACTTCCAAAATAAGGTGTCTCTGTCATAAGTTGATATGGGTTTGGATCGGAAACATACTGAACATTGGTGGATTCGAACGAGGGAGAATGTGTACTCAGAGGTGGCTGCAGCTCCCAGTTAATGTGGTTTGGTCCATTTTCTGGCATTGGGGGGTCCTGATATGTGAAATTTGTGTCCATTTGGTATTGTGACTGCATTGCTGAACAATCAAAGCATTCCACTTCATCAGATCTTTCACAATCAATTGAAGACCCTTGGCACCACTCATAATCATCATTCTTTGGAACCATACTCTTAATAAATTGGATATTTTCCTCCAATGTGGAGCCCGGTGGACTGTAAGCATAATTATCACTTGCACACAATGGGTAAGTTCCACAATGAACGTCATCATATGGAGAGTATCGGTCTGCAAAATATGGGTAATTATCAGAGAAATAAACAGATGGTACAGAATGCCATTTCCTCACAGAATCAACATCAATTGGGTTGCCAGGCTCTTGATTGTCTGATGAAAGCTGGTGGTGTTCATTACTGATGTGTGGATGTGTGTGGGATTCATTGTAGTAGTGCCAGGCACTCTCAGGTAACGAATCAACAGTTATGCACAATGGTGTGTTCATTCTCAAATAGTATTCCAAATACTCGGAAACAGGTCTTCGACGGCGAAATTGAGTGGCATTCGAGCTAGGCAATCTTGGTCTAGGTGTTCTAGACCGAATATTACTAGTCATGTGACGAAAAACAGCATACCCAGGAGCTTGTGAACAATAATTTAACATACTATTACCAGTAACAAACTGTTCAAATGTAAAATTAGCAAGTGATGTGTCAATAAAGAGAGGACTCAACTCTAGGCCTGGACCAATTGCAGGGTGGGCACTGAAGGATGCTTCGGCATCATCATTGTCAAGGTCAAGAGAGATGACTGTTTGTGGAGAAATTGAAGGATTCGAGCTTGTCTCAGAGTTCGAGTCATCTTCACACGCATACGGTAATTCACATTTATTAACATCTATGTCCATATTTGAAATTTCACTTATATCACTTCTGGGAGAAAGCAAATTGTTCTTTTCTCCAGAGAGACTAGTGGGATTTTCACTTTCTGCCACCTGGCAGTTGAACAAACTAGCAGTCTTTGGAGAACACTGAGCACTTTCTGAAAGATTCTCTTGATGGGCACCAAGTACCAATTGATTTCCATTGTCCTGGTATGCCTTAATATCATGTTTTTCATCGGAGATTCGATCAGACGGTTCAGGGTAGGCCGTACAGGACTGGAAGAGCTCGCAATCCAGATCTTCGCAGCATCAGGAGGTCCTCATCACCTGCATAAACAAATAAAGAGGAACATATTAGTGACTATAGCAAATCTTCCCCAAAACTACATAAACTGAAAAATTAAAAAAAAAAAAATACAATAACACAACTAATAATATGACATTCTATTCTAAAGAGGAGAAATTTAAGCTTGATTGAAATACTATTTCTGCACACTCAGGTTGAATTTGCATTCACTCTTACAAGAAAGAAAACAAATTTTGTCTTCCAATGTGGTACAATCAGAAATATGGAAGAAATGAGCCACCACCACTATACAGTAAAATCTGATCAAAGCACCAGTGGTTCCATTTGCCATCAACAGATGATGCTTTCAGCAAATTTTACTGTGGTTCATTCTCCTTAAGTTTATTGCCAAACAAGGATTAGAAATAGTAAAACAACAAAGACAAAACTAAGCACATTTAGCACATAATCAACATTGAGATGCAACAAATCAGAAACAAGCCAGAGCTTGGAGTAATGCAGTTTCTGTAAGGAAGAATGAGATAAAGATCAGGGATGGCAGCGGCCTTGTGGATAGAAGCAAATACACCTCGTCAAAGAAAGGGATCGGATCAAAGAAGGTTTACTGCTATGACCCAAACATACAGTAAGAGTTTCGAAATAAAAGTATGTACCCATCAGTTCAAACAATGTCTACAACAATAATTAAGAGCCAAGCACCAAATACATGCGTTAAAAAAACTGATTGGCTTATGTTTAAGAAACAGAAAGCACATCAGAAATGGCTGAGAAAACAAACAAGCATGAAAGTATGTCAGAAATTTATGACAGATTATGGAAAAACTCATGAAATAGCGAATTGGGTATGAGAACACAAATCCTGCCACATTGAACCAAATGAATGTGATGGAAAGCATATGAATTGATCAAATAGGTTTCAATCAGCTTAATAATCCATGACAAAGAAACTAGAGTAGTATCTATGTCTCTTGAAAAAATGAATGATGGTCCATGAAATATTGTATGTTATGAAACATTGAATCTAAACTAACACCATCACTTTATGAAACAGAAAGCAACACACACCCATGGAAACCCATTAGGTGCACTTACCGCTGGAGGCTTTGAGTAAGCATTGAAATCCCTTCCAACAAAAGGACCTCGAGCAGGGCTTCTTGCTTGTGGGCTGCCGTCCAAAAAACAGCAGTCATAAGCATGCCCTAATGCAACTACAATTCATTTTTCCTAATTTTTTTGCATTTTCACTGTGATATTATCACAGGATTACCTTGAAGTTTGGGAAGTTTTAGACTTTAAAATCCACCTGAGAGGTATTATACTGTACTTATGCAGACTTTGTTTAAGCATTCTTGCAGTTATTCTGCCTATTCACAGTTGGATGTACTGTACTTCCCATCTTTGCAGCTATCAAAGGACTCAATTCCTACATACACTACAAGCTCTAATCTGGTAATACGGTACTGGCTCTAATTTAATTTACAGAAGGAAAAACATCAACTCAGGGTTGTCGGAGCAACAAATTTTCCTTCACTATTAAATTTGAATAAAATTAAGAAAGCTTTTCCTACTACTATTATACCCATTACAACGGAAGTACATACTTGAACAAATTTTTAAAACAACGTGGGGTAGTATGAGAGCGGATGCGTGTATGCATGTTTACTTGTGCACCCCTACAGTAAAAATCAAGCTGTGATTGAAGTACAATTGAAGTTTGCAGAAAAGCATGCCAGGGTTCCTGCACCACTTTTTAACCCCTAGCAGAAGAAATATTTGTAAAGAATCCTGGTGGGCATGGGAATGGTAAGGAATACTGAACAACTCCGATTACAAGAAATTGCAATCGTGGAGGACAGCATAAACCGAAAACTAACGAGTAGAACAAGTAGAGGAAAAAAGCTCTACCTAAGTCTGAAATATAAATGGGCCAAGTGTTAAAAAAAATAATTTAAAAAAAAGTTCTGCCAGCGAACCAGCTGCACGAAGTTTTCAGTGTGACTGAAGCCAATGCCAATCTGGTGAAAGCGACCTGGAAATAGAGAGCTTTGCACCTTCAGCTGCTATATCTCAATGGTTAGAACAATATCTTGCAAAGTACCTACAGTCATCATCTGTAAGGCATTGCAACCATTGGCAACTATGGAAACTGAGCGTATTCAAAAGCCAGAAGGCTACCCATTAAGGGCACCACTAGTACGATTAGCTCTTATACACTCAAACACCAAATTCTATCAAAGAAACCGATGAAGATAATGGCTCTCTAATAAGGGACAGCAATCTGAGCAACCATGCTTTCTGCCTCACCAAACAGACTCATGTTAGTTGAACCACAAACCATAGCTCATGAGTAAAAGATTGTTTGGGGGCAATCAGCATCCGGTATTGCATTCACACAGTACACTGTCAAAATAACCTGTGACACTTACGTTGGCTTCCGCACTCTAGGTGGCCGAGTTAAACCTAGGGCCTCCCCTGAGGGTTGGCTGTGTGGTCGAGGGTAGTAAGAAGTTTGGAAGGGACGAATAGCTCGATGATAGGAATTGGTAGGTATGGAAAATGGAAGGCGCCCTGCCATATACCTCATGTCACCTGGCAAACAAAGTTGTATACATAGTTAATGTGGGATGGTTTAGTGATATTTGAAGCACTAGATTGTGGCACTTATTCATTCCTCAATGCAGCAGATAGAATTGAAAGAGCACTAAGTTTTCTAAGAGAGTCTCACAGTGCCAACTGGAATCACTTTACAAACCTGTCGACATGTATCTTGAGGCGGCTAAATTGTACATAGGCATTGAATATGGCTGAGAAAAGCGAATATTATCCCCTGATCCACCATGGTCCTTTCGAGTCCCTGGACTTTGTCCTCGAGGAAAGCCTTTGGGTCCGGCAGTTCTCGGAGGAGGGCTAGACTGTAAGACATAATCAAATCAAATAAGTTTCATATAAATATGAAAAAATTTAATCAAACAAGAGAATTTTAAAAAATAATTTACCAAATTGGGACGCATCATTCTTTGGATCATAGGTGACTGGTGCGGTGCAACATTAGGGTAAGTGGCAGGCGATGTCGGACCACCAGGCCCATTAGCAGTTTGTGAATACATGCCATATACATATGGATGGACGCCATAGGAGGTCTATGAAAAAAAATTAGTTAAGAAGAAACACAGAGAAGGTAAAACTGAGTGTGAGAGGAAACCTTACTTGAGTGATAGGGGGAGTGCCTGGTGCAGGCATGTAACCTTGAGGACCAGCATAGGGGTTCATTGGCACCAGGGGTTGTCCTTGCGGCTGGCCTGGCGCCTGCGAAGGACCATCCCCAGCCCCTTGGTAATATGCTAAAGCTCCTGGCGGTGCGCCACTGCCACTCATAGCTACATTGGCATTAGAGTATACAGACGGTTGATAAGACTGCGTTGGCACGCTAGAAGATGAAATTCATACAAATTAGACATTCCCTTGGGCAGGGTGGAACACCTCCTTCCAAATTTTCAGAACTACTCACGTGCTGGTATGCATGGAAGATACAGTGTAGACAACTTGCTGCTGTGGAGGGGCGACTCCTACACAGTCATTTGGATATCCTGGTAAATGATACTATGTTAGTCTCAGATTGAAGGGACCAAGAGGGATCACAGAAGGAAAACAAAAATGACCCACCATTAATCACAGTTCGATCTTGAGTTTGTGGAGCCACACCCATGTTTGGCATTGAGTATGCTGGAGGCTGGAAGATAGCTGCACCTTTTGCATAGCTTGCAGCCACGTTACGACTGTAGCTGTTGCGATTGTTATTTCCAGGTGAACTTGATGAAGTAGAGCCAGTTGAATTTGAGCTGTTCTTATTATTACTGTTTTCTCTAGAATTAGTCTGTGGGCTTGTGCCTCTGTTGTAATTGGAATTACTATTGCTGCCCGAAGCAGGTGCAGACCCAGCTGCCACTCCAGTGGGATTCTGTGGACTCGTCACGTTGTTAGGAGGGTAATAATACATGACAGTGGGTGGGTAACCCTAAAATTTAAAGAAACAGAAAAAGATGGGAAAACAGAACAAATTAATAGGAAGAACCAAAAATATGGGTAAACAGGGACAGTGAGAGTGAGACGGCAAGCAAGGCAAAACAAAAGGCTTTGGCAAAACAACATAAAAAATGTGTAAAGGTCTGCAGACTGACCTGGTTCTGACTAGAAATCTGAGGTCCCCAGTAGTATGAGCCGTTGCCAGCCACCATGATGTGGGGTGTGGGGGGGCCTCCAGGCCCAGGTCCTTGGAGAGGGCTTTGCCCATCATTGCGTGCAGAGCCAGGGCCTGCATCACCACCGGCCCGCTGGTCAACCACGGGCCCGCCTGGGTTCCCGTTCAAGGACATGCCTATCATGTAGCCCGTCACCTCGTTCACCGCTTGGCCGGTCACATCCTGCAAAGCAAAGACCACCATTTATTTCTCGCTGTCAACTTTTTCTTCCCATGTTGCTTCGATGTGAGTGGGCAACTGACCGAGCCACGGTGGTCGTAGCCGCTGTGGGGGCCGGGGGGCGGCGGGCCTGCTGTGGGGGCGGCGTACATGCACGGGTACCCCGGCAAGCAGCAGGGTGGCGGGGCCGGCCCCACGGGGGGCGGCTGTCCCGCGGGCGGCGGGGGCTGCTGTGCCTGCTGGGGCTGCGCCACGTACGACCCCGTGGCGGGGTCCAGCGCGTACCCGCACCCGCCCACGTACGGCACGCCGGGCACGCCGGGCACGGCGCCGCCGTAGTACGCCTGGCCATCCCCGGGCGGCGCGGCGGCGTAGGTGTAGCTGCCGTTGGGGTAGTGGGGCGGCTGCACCGGCTGCACCGGATACGCCACCATGGGCAGCGGGTAGGTGCCGGCCTGCGGCTGCGGCGGGGGCGGCACGGCTCCCCCGGGGGCGGCGGCAGCGCCTGGGGCACCCACGACGAGGGGCAGGGGCAGCGGCAGGGGCCGCTGCGGGCTGGGGGCGGCGTTGGAGGCGGTGCTGGAGGCGGCCACCAGCATGGGGGACGTGGCCGTGTTGGTGACGGAGCGCTCTGGCACGCTCAGGCTGGAGGACGACGACGATGACGTCGACGAGGTGGTCGTACTCGTGCTGGTGCTCTCGCCCTTGCTGCCCTGGTTGCCGCGGTGGTCCTCTCGTTCGCGCGCCTGGTTGTTGTTGTAGTAACTGCGCTTCTCCTGCTGGTTTTGGCTCGTCTTGGACTGGTCGCTCGCGCTGGCCGCCTTGTCTGTTTGGGGCTTGTCAAACTGTGATGCTGGTTTGTGCGGCGGCTGCTGGAACCCTGGCTTGCTTGCTTCTAACTTTGGAGAGGGTGTGTTTGATGTCTGTGTCACTTTGGGAGATTGTGATGACTGGTTGGCCCAACTGGTCTCTTGTTCAGGAGTATTACCTGCAATGAGGATTATAAAAATACAAAAGCTGCGTGCAAATTACTTAACAAGATATATTTCATTTTATTAAATAGTCCTTCAGGGAAAACCTACTTTTAGCACAGTCATCACTTAGCCTACCAGACTGGCTGGTTGGCGGTGACTTTGCAGTGCCCTCCGCTGGAACATGAAGAGTCAGTGGATTCTCAGGGTCATATCGATAAACTGACCCATCCGCATTACATATGGGTTGACCAGTCTGTAACAATAATTAACAATTATTACTACAAGCGCCATGTTGAGAGACGATATACATGTGTGAGGCTAATTACACACCGCTGGATTGATGAGTACACTCCCAGGGGGAATATTGCCCATGGAGGTCATGGGCCAAATCACAGGCGGCTCTGGAGAAAGGGTATCTTGACTTCCTTGGCTCGACATCTAAGGTGAAAGTTATGTTAGACAAAACCAAAATAGTTGCACAATCACCATAAGAAATATTTGAGGCATAAAGATTCCTACAGGCAAAAGTGAAAGCGGAGTCGCTGTAGGAGAAGGTGTTGCAGAGAGTGTTGCATCCGACTGTTGTGACTGAGATTTGTAACCAGAGCTTGAAGGACTCAATCTAGATGATACACTGCTCCCAGAATCTACAAGAAAAAAAAAAGAACCATTCAGTACACTGAAAATTGAAAGGATAATAGCCACACAGCCACAGATGTGCACCTTGCTTGGCCAACACGCGGGACCCTGCACTGAGTGAAGATGCATTGCTGTCGCCTCTGGGTAATGCAGCGAAACTTTGTCCATGACTAGGGCTGGGGCCTAGCCGACCATTTGATGAACCATTTCCAGTGTACCCACCAAAACTGTAGGACTTTGATACAGCAGATCTTGACGAATTAGATCTCGAGGTGTCTCTGCTCTCATAAGATTCTGTTTTCATCAGACGACCAGGCCTGTAAATTTTTTAAATTTTTTTTTTTTAAAGCGATAAAGGAAGAAAATAGGGGGGAGGGGGCTGAACAGAAGACGGCTCTACTCACTCACCGATCATTAGGTCGTAGATATCTGCCTGGAGGCTCAGGCTCATCACATGGCCACGTCGCACACTCACTCCAACGGACGTCTTCCATGCTGTCTTGATTGGACTCACTTCTTTGGCAGCTTTCCGTACTGTCCTGAAAATTAAGAAAGAGAAAGGGTAAATAAAGGTGTGCGTGGGATACATTAAAACTATGCCAAGCAATCAGAAACAAAAAAGTTTTGTTTGTAATCTTTCATAAATAAATAATGTAGCAGAATATGAGTGGATGAGTTTATTCACCATGCGTTGTTAGCGCAGGCAAAGTAAGAAAAGATTATGTAAGCATAAGTGGTTGAATTATCTATAGGTAACAACTTGTGCAAAATGGCAACGGAGAATTATATTAAATCCACTATGAAGCTATTCATCTAACTAAAATTAAGGTGAATTCTACATAGTCTTACACCTAGAGTAAAATGAGGTGAAGGCTTGTGACAAAATTAAGATCAATGATTGTTCATTGCACCTGTTCATGGTTAGTGGGAGAGAACAAACACGTGATTGACGCTAATGGTGAAGCAGTGTGGGAATGTCACTAGAGGTAAACATGCAGGCATCAAAAAGAAAAAGAGAACTTAACAAAACACAGTTTTATTTATTTAATTCATAATGTTGAAAAATAAAAGAAGCAAAACTAAAACGCATACAATGGCACACAAACACAAATCAGGAGAACAAAGGAAAACAAAAGAAAACAATGCAGTGAACTGGCAGTATATACAGCATGAAATCAAACAGCCATTCATTTCATTCAGTCATTCCCACTTTTCTTTGGCGTACTCACATCCCGGCTAAAGATGCGTCTCCTTGCCCTTTCATATTCCTCCTCCCTTTCTTCAAAACTCTTACTGCGACGCGATTCCAAACTCAGCTGTTTTTCATCTGACTGCAAAAGCCAAACAGACGCGTTTCTATCTTTTGCCCTTTTTCCTTTTCTTTTCAGTAGGGTATCAATGTATAAAGTTACATGCATGGAAGCATCAAGCAGGCCTCATCACCCCCTTTCCCCTTCCCTTATATCCATTCAGAAAGTTTTCCTTTCTCATCTTGCAAGCCAAACTTTGAGGCAATTTCCTACATAACTATAAATACAGTATAGCATAAAAAATTGCCAAATACATATAGGTAACAGTAAGAAGCCTCATCACACAAATAAATCATTCCTCTGGTTGTTCTGTAATATTTCCACCAAGAAGAGTGTCATCAAGGTAAGAAATACACATTTTTTAAAAGGAGATGAGAGAGGAGATTACTACATGATGCACATTGCATTAGAAGAAAAAAGGGAAAAAAAGGTTGAGGAGAAATCCTTAAAATCCGCGAGTGTCAAACAAACTGACTGTAATCATAGCACTGAGCGACAAAATATCAATGGTTGGCTAAAGCAGTTTTCCAAAGCACTGATGATGACCTAAACTGCATGAAGCAAACTACAAATTGAAAATCCAATCCTGGCAAAACTACAGTCTTCAAAACGCAGTATTCAATTTGAATTTGAAAAGACTCCTGTCTTTACTAAATGCTTATTCAAAATGGCATTCTTTAAAATGCAATTACTGAGGGGGATTTGGAAGTTTGTCTTAGCACAAGTAAAAGATTAACAGTATCACTGTCTGTTCCAAAAAAAAAAAAGGACTATTCCTACCTTAAATTGATTGTCCTCGAATGAAGCATAGTCCCGTTTCAGAATGGACTTGCGAGGCTCTTCACTTGAATATGCTCTGGCACTGAGACCCTTCATGTCTTTCATGACTTGAAAAAAGGTCCTCTCAGGCATTCTGGTGCTTTTATTGCGATTCACAATAACACAGGTTCCAGATGCATCCAAGTTGTGGTCCATTTGAAAGTATGTGGCTGCCCTATGGACGAGCATTCGATGAAATGAAGTCATTTGAGGAAATCTGAAGAATATAGGCCTGGAAGAAGGATTTAAATATTTAAATTGTGGCTGGAGTGCGAGGCTCAGTCACTTTTTTTCCTGACATTTAATATGAAGGATTTTCCAACCTTTGATCTTGAACAAGTTGTTTAAGTTCTTCCTCCACTCTTAGGAGAAGGGGTCGATTCTTGGTAGTCATTTGAGCGGCAATAAAACCAAGTAAATCTGCTTTGGCTGCATCTTGACACTGTAAGGTAGTGCTATAGTCCTGACTTAACAGACCACCCCAAGCTTCTTGTGGGGAGCTTATGTAAATATAGTTCTTGTTCTGTGGAGCTCGATGATTACTAGGTCTATTTGAAGAAATATTCTGATCCTTGCTAATTTTGTTGTTGCCATTTTTGTTTTTGAAATTGTTGTTATTGCTTGTGTGGTGGTGATGGTTACTGCCACTATGGTGGTTGTTGTTGTTGTTGTTAGCTTTACTTGCCTGGCCATTACTTTTGCCATTGGTGGTATTGACTACTGATGCAGGGGTAGATTGTTGGTTGCTGGTCGTTGACGCCACCTGTGTGGCGGCTGTACTTGAGGCTGATGAAGACATTTGAGCCATTGCTGCAGGATCAGGAGGCGGGCTTGTTGCTTCTCGCATTGCATGACTTCTCGTCAGCATTTTCATTTTAGCATTTGACTGAAACAAAGTTGATAATTTTGCTACAAACAACAACTACTATGGTAAGAACATTTTAACAAGTTAGAAGCTAGCTTACTCTAGATCGAGAAAGCTGAGGTTGAGGGCCATTGACAGCTTTATCAACATCTTCACTTCTTGAATTTGTCCCTCCAGGACTGCCTGGTTTACAACTAGCTCCACCCCCTGATGAAACATCCGCTTTGGTCTGACTGATGTTGCTACAACTCGAAGTGCTGTTTGTGGGACCTGGACCACCGGAATCAGACTTTGAATGGTGGTGATGAATGCAGCCGCCTGCTATTGCCTCTCCATCATCAATAGATGATTTCTGAAAGAAACCAAGCATCAACTTCAAGCTTTCTACAGGCCGCTGACAAACTTAGGTAAAATTCATTTAAATTTTATATTAGATGGGCAGGTGACAAAACAAAAAGCCTTTTACCTGTTTGCGCAATTGAGGTGTCTGTCTAGCGGTACGTTCCATGCTTACGCCAGGTACACTTGGTGATCCACTATGGACAACTATGCTCGGAACTGCCAACACACAAAGATGCTGATATAACAGAGCTTCAAGCAAACAACTGGCTCCAGCAAATTCAGCATGTGTGATTGACTAGCAGCATGAGCATATTACACTATCTAAATTTGCAGTTGAAAGTCATAACAAAGCAACCACAAACAGAATTACCACTAATTTTTTCCAAAAATTTAAAAGAAATCAAAATAATCAAGCATTTTAAAAAAGGGGTAAAGGGGTTTTTACATCAAGTTAACAAAAATGTAGAAATCAGTGTATGATAAAAGAGGGTGTAGACACACGTAGGGTATACGTTGATGTGACATGCTTTAAGCGCTTTTTTCTCCACAAAATTTTACAAGCCATACAACGAGTAACAGAAACAAATGCCGCTGCTACAGTACAAATTTGAAAGAAAACTTCAATGAATAGGATTTGATGAGAGCAATTCAATTTAAATTCAGGAAAACCAATGAAAAAAATGATACTTCCATATTGTAGCTTTGCAGTGATAGACAAAATCAGTGTAGTAAAGGTGAAGTAGATCTAGTCAACAGCCTCATGTTATGCCCATTGCGAAAGGACTGCAGTGATCTAACGAAATGCCACCAAACTGACTACCAATCAATGCCAGTCAATATACTCACTTTCCAGTTTGGCCATGCTCAGGAGCGGCACACACAGCTACAATATTATCCCAAGGAACCAAATGTGTTCCTTAACAAAGCCTGTCTGTCCGCAAACTCAGTAGGACATCCTAAGACCATCTTGACCATGGCCAGTGGGGGATGGTATCTAATAGCAATCAGAAAAAAAAGGCGGATGCATTTCAGTCAAATTGCCAAATTAATTACAACAATGACTCAAACTGACTATAGTACTTATGAGGAATTAATTCTTTTTTGAAACATCACAATTCATAACCGAACTGAGCAATAAGAAATGAGTATGTATACACCGCAGAATGAGATAGGTCGAGGAGGGGGTGCGGGCGAAAGGGTTGGTGGACTCAGGGCACGCGGAGAGAGAGAGACAGACTGGGAAACAAAGGGACGAGGTCAGTAAACCCAGCTTTACAGTCTGCCAACATCATCTCATGCACTATGAAAACGGAGAGAGGGGGCAAAGGGGGAGGGTTGTGACTTGCAGTGGCGCCCACCCACCCGCCCTCCAACCCCTTCCCTTCCCTTCCCTGAACGAGGAATCAATTCTCCAGCATCCACCATCCAGCAGCACACGCCGCACGCTACGCCACGCCACTGTAGGGCTCTACGCCACGCTACGCCACGCGAGCCGCGCTTGGCGTGGAAGGGCAGGGTGGGTAGGGCAGGGGGGCGGGGCCGTCGGTGTTGGCCTAGGGTTGGCTTGGCAGCCAAGCCTAGGGTCTCTAGGAGCACGGCGAGTCGTTTCGTCGCTCCCTCTCTGTCGCACTCACGGAGCTCTCCATAAGGGCGCGAAAGAGTCAGAGCGACAAACTGGGTCGCTCGGCAGACCGGCCACGCGGCGCACACTGGATTTGCCAGAAGACCGGTGGCGGCGGCCAAACCTCTAGACGCGCTTTGAGCTCAAGAGTCGCTAAATGGGACTCGAATCGATCGTGTGACCCCACCAATGGATTGCTCTCCGAATGAGGAGAGGTGGGGTCACACGTTCGGTTCTAGTGCTGTTTGGTGACTCGAGCTCAAAACGCGTGTAGAGTTTTGGCCGCTTCCACCGGTCTTCTGGCCCACTGTGCGGCGCCCCCTGCCCTCCACCTCTCCAGTCTCTCCACCTTGCTTTAGTACCACGAGGACGGAGAGTAATGCATCGCACTCTGGACCGGAAGGTCCGCGGTGTGGGTGGCCCCGAAGTAGGGCACGGCGGCACGGCGCAGGGGGGCGGGCCTGGCGTAGCCAGCGTAGCCCGGTCGTCGTCTGATCCACAGCCTCACGCCGTAGTACGCTACCGCCCCCGCCCCCCGGGTGGACGGCAACCAGCTACGCGCCCCCGCGCCCCACGACCCCCAGCCCTGCCAGCCCCCAGCAGCAGCCAGCGGCGGGCGGCGGGCGCAGGCGCGGGGGGTAGAGGGTCGGGTTTTGATGGGGTAGGACCACAGAGCGTAGTACTACGTTCGGGGGGCGTTCGGCGCGTGGAACGCGTAACGCGCGGCGTAACGGTAGGGTAGGGTACGGGCGCTCCCCTGACCGCGGTGTATAGCACTACGATCGGGGGGCGAGCGAGTGCCTCGCTGGGGGAGGAGGAGGGTGGGGGCGCTCGGCTCTCCTTGCCACGGATACCAGCACTCTGTTCTGAGAGCGGTGTGCCACCATGGTGCCACCATGGTGCAACTCGGGACGCTGGGGCACTACGTAGTGGGCCTACGCGGCTCTCTCACTGGGTGACGATGACGATAGAGAAACCGCGCCAAACTTGCTTCTGGCCGGGTCTCTCTAAGGTCTCTCTACGCCGACCACAGTGTACCGCGAGGAATTTTCCGCCGGCCGACGCATCTCGGAGGCCCTCGGGGCCTCGACCTAAGGACCGAGGAACATGCTGATCCCTTTCTCGGAAAATGGGGCCACGTCGGCCGCGCACCTCAAGGCCACGCTGCCGCTCTGCCCGCCCAGCATTGTTGCCAGACGTCACAAATGCATCTCGGCGTCTCGGGACAATTTATTGGCCACTTCTCGGCCAATTCTTAGAGAGTTTCGGATGGGTTTTGTGACCTCACAGGTTGACTACGCGTTTAGAGGGCGGTTTAAAGCGACGGCCCATAGGCGTCAGTCGACACCATGCTAGAGTCTTACATCTGGCAACCCTGAAGACTCTTGCCCCCCTCAAGCTACCCCTACCCCCCACCTGACCCGCCAGTTCGGCCTAGTTCGGCCTCGGCCTCTCCTTCCCCACAACCACGACACAACACAAGCTCTCAGTCCAGTCTCCACGGTCCAGTCCTCGCCTCAGCTTCGAAGTCAGTGCCGCCACAGAGCAACCCCGAGTGACCGGCACAGCACCGAGTAAAATCTCAAGGTGGGTATTTACTTCGTTTTCCTTACGCTGATGCGAGATACCTGGTACCATGGTAAAATATCGAGACCTCTCCAAATCTTTAGCGAGCGGCATGTCGCCCAGCATGTCCCCCAGCAAGGCCCCTGAACCGGCTTGTGAACCGACGGCTTCGGCTTCAAACTCGCCACTGCACAAAGTGTTCGGCAAGAGCGGGAAGGTGGGAAAACGACAACAGTTGAAGAGAAAACTTTACTCTTGGATTAGAGAGCAAAGATTGGAGGTATGTAATTACTGCAATTGAAAACACTTACTGCTTTCAAGTGCCTTATCTGTTATATGAATTAAAGGACACGCTGTACCTTGTCATGTCTGTACCTCTGTAAAAAGAGGTACAAAAAAAAACTAAAAAAATAATGTCTCCATGTGTGTACAGGGAATCCCTCTGAATGACATGGTGGTTGAACGTAAAGCGTCTGAGATGAAAGAAGAAATGAAAATAAAAGACTTGGAGCTTGGTTGGCTGACCACATTCAAGCAAGAATACAATGTTAAACTGGTCACGAGTTGTGAAGAGCTGGAAGAGCAACTCATCACCTGGATTACAGATCAAAGGTCAAAGGTAAATGGTTATTTTTTAAACATTCAAAGCAATTTTCATACTTAGATAATAATAAGAAATGAACATACAATTGTAAATAGAAGTTACTTTGCTTTCATTTGTGAAGGGACTCCTCCTGAGTGACAAGATAGTTCAAGATAGAGCTTTGGCCTTGAAGGAAAGCTTGAACGCTCCTTCTTTCAATGCAAGTGCCAAATGGCTGCTGGACTACAAGAGGAGGTATGGCCTCAAACTGGTTGTCAGTTGCGAGGAGTTGGAGGAGCAGCTATTTTCTTGGATTACGCATCAAAAGTCCGAGGTATGTACCAATAATGTAATTCTTGAAGCTTTGCAAGTTTTAAAAGTGTCACATGAAGTGAGCAGAAGATAATTTACTTTGTTGTTCTTAACTCTATTTTTTTTTCTTTTTAATTTTCCTGCAGGGAGTAACTTTGAAATTTACAGATATTCAAAAAAAGGTGACAGAGTTACAGAAGACATTGAACTCTCCCCCATTTGATGCAAACCAGATATGGTTCAGTGAATTTAAAAAAAGGTACAGAGTCAGCCTGAACTTTAAGGTCAAAGAATTGGAAGATATACTTCATTCCTGGATTGTGGGGAGACGCTTACAGGTTTGTACAGTAGTTATTATTACTATTGTTGTTATTAATAATGGTCCCAGAGTAAGATGTAAGAAAAGGAACATACTGTGGATACACACAAGTAAAACATTGTGGCTCTTTTTTTTTTGTTTTGCACAGGGAGACGTCCTGACTGACCAATCAGTAACCAACAAAATGTTGGACTTAATTGGAAACCTGAAAGTTTCCCTTCCTAAACCTGTTCCACAGTGGCTGAAAGAATTCAAGAAAAATTATGGCATAAGACTGGTTGCAAGTTTTGTAGAACTGGAGGAGCAGCTGTATGCCTGGATCATTCAGCAGAAATCACTGGTAAGTACCGTTATTGTTATTTTTCTACACTAAGGAAACTACCAGATCTAAGCCTATCTAACCAAGATAGTTTTCTTTGATGATAATAAATAAAGTGCTCAAAAAATTGCTTTGTTTGCTTTTAGGGTACATCTCTTAATGATGCACAAGTTCAAGCTGAGGCTCTTACGTTACACCAAAGATTGAACACTCCTGCCCCCTTTGAAGCAACCCACGAATGGCTGACCGACTTTTACCAACGGTACAGCGTCACCCTGGCCTTTGATTGCAAAGAATTGAAGGACAGACTCCACTCCTGGATTGTAAAGCAACGATTGGATGTACGTAATGCATATTAACTTTTATTACACAATATTTATTTAAATTGGGTCGTAAACACAGAAAAATGAAACAACAAGAATACAGTACCCATACAAAAATATAATTATTTCTTTTAATGGCGCATTTGCAGGGGGTCCCTCTGAGCCAGAAGATGGTACACGACAAAGCAATCCAGCTTAACAGTGACCTAAAAATTAATTCTCCTTCAGTTGATACTCCACAATGGCTGTCTGATTTCATAATTCAGTACAGCATCAGAATGACAGTCAGTTGTGAAGAGCTGGAGGAGCAGCTCTATTCCCTGATCGTCAAGGAAAAATTGAAGGTAGGTACAGTAATAGAAATTCTTTGGCAAAACCACAATTAAAAAGAGATAGATAAAAAAAAACTTCTTTTCTCTTTTGCAGGGCAACAGTCTGAGTGACGATGATATTTATGATAAAGCACTGGACTTGAATTACTTCTTAAACACTCCTCTCCTTGCAAGCGACGAATGGGTGGCTGACTTCAAGAGAAGGTATGGACTGGTCGACAGCGTCGAGGCCGAGAGTATCAGTAGTTTCAGTGACAGCAGTTTCAGTGACAGCAAAGAAAGCGACTTCAGTGACGTCGATGAAGACAACAAGGCTGATCTGATCTGACGAAGTACCTAGGGCTCTAATCTGACATGATTGATTCCTCCTCTATTTTGTTTTCTTTGGTGAATTAAAACAAATACGTACAAACTATTGTTGCCTTTGAGTCTTCAAGTTCCCATTCTCTACCTGTCAGTAGCAGCAAATTCACATCCAAAATCAAAAACACCACGCTGCTGGCGGCTCGCTCCCTCTTTCTCTCTCTCTCTCTCTCTCCAGGGGTTCCCCCCCCCCTTTTAAAAAGTTTTTATATCTTTCTAGATGCCATATACATATACACTCTTCCCATGCTAGAATAATTCTATATCACCCCCTGGCCTTATTTTATTTCATTATTCTCGTTTGTTCGACGATCCCTCAGCCTGCACAAGCGCCCGCCGGGTCGGGCATAGGCCACGCGCCGCGCACGCGTGCCGGAGGGTTGCCTGCTGCCCGGGCGGCCCTGGCGGGGCTGGCGGGGCTGGCAGCCAGCGAGGCTGGACAAGTGGCCGGACTCCAGAGCAACAGAGGGACGGCGGGGACGGCGGGGACGCCTGGAGCTGACCGGATGACCTATATACGGCACGGGAGCCGAGAGACGTAGCGGCGTAGCGGCGTAGCGGCGCGGAGGGACGGACGACTCCGAATCAATAGTACGGCAGCACGGCCAGCGCCGCGAGGAGTGCACTCGGCGACCGCCTGCAGAGCGCTCCAGAGCCTGCAGCCCCTCCGTCTCTCTCGCACCACCGGGCGGGGCGGGACGGGGCGCCCCACGACGGCGAGAGAGAGAGAGAGAGAGAGAGAGAGAGAGAGAGAGGCGCTGTTCGAAGGATTTATTTGGCTGGTTCCCGATTCCGGAGCGCAGCACGCTTCCAGCGGGCCGGGGGTCTCAAGCAAACGGCTTGCAATCCGTTCGCGGGGTTGGGAAAGGGGGGGGGGGGCTGCACGTGCCCCGGGCACTCGGCACTCGAGTCTGGAGGGGCTGCACGGGCTGCACGGGCCGCGGGGGCTGGAGGGAGGGAGGGGGTTGCAAACGGACGCGCTGCGGCGTGTGCATAGAGTGCGCGCGCAGCAACCAGCCGGATTCAAGATTCAAGCCGAGCAGAGCCCAACTGGAACTAACCGCTTCCGCCGGCGGGGGAAAGTTTTCTTGGCACGACTCAGTCCAGACGGCACGACGACGCGCAGTGGGCCAGAAGACCGGTGGGGCGGCCGAAATCCAGCACGCGTTTTGAGCTCCAGAGTCGCTAAATGGGACTGGAACCGGACGCGTGACCCCACCAATGGACTGTTCTACGAACGGGGGATCCATTGGTGGGGTCACACGTTCAGTTCGAGTCCTGTTTTGGACTCTGGAGCTCAAAACGCGTCTAGAGTTTCGGCCGCCTCCACCGTTCGTCTGGCCCACTGTGCGACGCCGTGGGAGGAGGGGGTGTTGGCAACGGCCAGCGCCGCCGCGTGTGGTATACTCATTGCAGAGGGTCGTCCGCATTGCAAATGACCCCTTCACCGCACTGCCCTGCTTGGCCTGCTACCTGGCCGCCGTTGAGGGAGGTTAGGGAGGGTGTGGACCCCCCCCCCCTTCCCCCCGCGGGGTCGGCCGGTTCGGTCCAGACTGGCACTGCGAGAAGGGGGCGGGGCGGGGCGCGGTCGATAGGGTCCATATGGACCGAGCCAGGCCAGCCTGCACGGCCTGCACACTAGGAACAAAACCGGCCTCCCCCTCTCCCCTCACTAGTGACCTAGATTTAGAGCGATGCGCCGGCGTCGCCAACGCTCGCACCGCGCCAACCCCCCTGGAGGCAGCCACGCCGCGCCGCCCCAGCCGCCCCTCCAGACGCGCTGCACCACCTGGACCGCGCAAGGCACCGCCCCCCGCCCCGCCCCAGGCGCAGCCCCCTCTGCCCCCTCCGCCGCCGCCCCCTGTGACCCCGTTCCGTTCCGCCTCACAGCAGCCGTGCCCCGCCAGCATCCACGTCGAGATCTCCATTTTCTTTTCTGTTATCACAACAATCTCGCTACGGTGCACCCCCCGGGGCCTCGGGGGCCTCCAGTGCCTCCAGCAGACTGAATCCGAGCGTCGTCTTCGTCGCTCTGTCTCTCTCGCACTCATGGGGCGGCCCCTATGGGTGCGAGAGAGACAGAGCGACGTGAACGACGCTCGGGTTCAGTCTGGCAGGGCTCCGCCGGGCCCAAGTACTTCCCAAGGCCGGAAGGAACCAAACACGGGCAGTCGCCGTGGTTTACAGAACCGCGCTCAGCCGAAAGATTTTACGCGATGAGGCAAACCGAATACTCGGCGACAAAAATACAAAAATGAAAAATAATCACGAACGCCGCATTCCTGACCAAATCGCACACTGACGTGCAAAGCCAGGATAACATAAGACACCAAAAACACGCACACACTCACACCAAGAAAAAAATGCGTAATCCATTCAATTAAGTAAAAAGGTAAAAAAAAACACATCGAAAGCAAGGGACTGTAACCACAGGAAATAAATTGCGAACACCGAGATAAAATAAATCTTACCATTTAAAAAAAACAGCAACAAAAAAAACAGCCGAATTCCAAAAGTCAACGCGACAAAAAAAAAACAACTTATGAGAAAAAGATCCCGGAGTGTTTGCGATTGGTTTATTAACCACTGGCCGGTCGGTACTGCGTGGTAAAAGGCTGAAAGAGAAAGGCTGCATTAGGGAAAACTCGTACCGGGGTTCGCGTGGCAGGTCGCGGCCGAGGCATGGCGGCAGAAGGGTGGCCCGCCTGGACGTCCTGGGAGCCCTGGGCACGCGCGGGCCGGGCCGGGCGCGCGGGGGCGCAGCCTGGAACAGAGAGGCCACACGCGTGAGTCGCGGGTTCAAAACCCCAACACCAGACACTTTTTCACGTTTACAAAGCAAAGCCAGCAGCGCAGCCGTTGCGGGGCCGCAAGCCACACCACAAGCTTGCCTTCGAGCCTGAAAAACGTCAACAAAGTTCAAATCTCAGGTTTTTTGTTTTTGTTTTTTTATGTAAGAGGGTACTGGGCTTTTCGACGTGTCCCTTCGATGTGGCGCTCGATACGCAGTGCGCCGCGCCGACATCGTTTGTCCCGTACTCCTGACCCCATTCGCTGCTCTCCAGGCTGAGGCGGCCTGGGGTGGCGCCACGCCGCGCCACGCCGCGCCACGCCACGCCACGCCACGCCCGCCACGCCGGGAGCAGCCAGGAGGCCAAACAAAGACAATCTGTTATTTGATAACAATGTCGCCAGAGCAGCTACAGCAAGCAGCGCCAACGGCGGCCAACGGTACGTATAGGGCCAGCAGCCTGATTCGTTCGTCGCTCTGTCTCTCTCGCACTCATGGGGCGTTCCGCATAGGTGCGAGAGAGACAGGGCGACGAAAACGACTCGCGGAATCAGGCTGCAGGGCGCCATAGGGCCAGGGCCAGAGGGTGGCGGCGCCCAGGGACTTGTTGCTGGGGGCGCACAAGCAGACTCATTCCGAGGGGCGTTATCGTCGCTCCGTCTCTCTCGCCCTCGGGGTGCGTCCTGTTTGGGTGCGAGAGAGACGCAGCGACGACTTTCGGAGGTCTGGGCCAGGGACAGGATCGGGGGCAGGATCGCGCAGGACTGGGGAAGGACCAGGGAAAGGAAGCAGGGCGTCGAGTGCCGCCGCATTTTCCAACTCAAGGGCATTTCCAGCATTTCCCGAACTATTTCTAATGAATTTCCAGGCTTTCCAGGATCGCTCCACACCCTGCGAAGGGGACGAAGGTCCTGTCAGTGCAGGGTGCAGGGCTCGAGTCGGTGCGACACGCGGACCGGTTAACGAGCCAGTTAAAAATCGGTGGCGTAGTTCCCGCCATAAACATTCAAGGACCTCCCCCTCCCCCCACGAAGGGAACGCTGCCTGTCATCGGGATCGGCCCGGCCCACACCGTGTGGCTCACAGTGCCGTGCCCACACCGACGTGTGGGGCACAGTGTGGGGCACAGTGTGGGCCCGGCGTCGTTAAGGCTTTTACAGCCGCTTTTTGCCCGAGTGAAAAACGAAAGGGGGTTCGTCGAGGGCGTGGGGGATGATGGGCCGTTCAGGCCCCTCAGGCCCTTCAGGCCCCTCAGGCCTTCGCGCCAAAGGTCAGGGGGAGGGGGGCCGCTCGCCGTGCCTGCCAAGCTCGCCGAGCGAGCGGCAAAATGTCAAACCCGCGCCGATGCACCTGTCGACGACAGGCAAAAACAAAACCACTTTGTCTTCCCGTCTTTCGAAAAAGTCAGTGCCAGACTGTTCGCAAAGCCGGGGCCGAGTCCTGTCCGCCGCACAGTGGGCCGGGCGACCGGTGGAGGCGGCGCGTTTTAAGCTCCGGAGTCGCCAATTTTGACTCGAACCGAACGTGTGACCCAACCAATGGATTGCTTTCCGAACGAGAAATCCATTGGTGGGGGTCACACGTTCGGTTCGAGTCCCACTTAAGCGACTCTACAAGCTCAAAACGCGTCCAGAGTTTTGGCTCGAGTTTCGGCCGCCTCCGCCGGTCTTCTGGCGCACTGTGGGGCGGACGGACGGTCGGGCGATCCTGTCAAAAGCAAGGGCAAGCGTTCCAGGAAGCCACTGCTGCAATGCGAGATGCGCCGCGCCACCACACCGCAGAACAGGTGGCAGGCCTGCCCGGGGGGAGGGGGGGGGGAGGGGGCGACGCAAGGGCGCCCCAAGGCCGGCACGCGAGCGGGGCGGCGCGGCGCGGTGACGTACAAAAAGTTTCAAATCAAAACAACAACAACAAGAGCCGTATTCCCAGTGCCGCCGTCGGCTGCCGTCCGAATTCGTGTCGTACACAAATCGGGGCGATCGGAGTTGTTGGCACGCCACGGCGCAGTCCGCAGTCATGCCAACCACCAGCACAGCACGTGCCGCCGCACAGTGGGTTTGCCAGAAGACCGGTGGAGGCGGCCAAAATTCTAGACGCGCTTTGGGCTCCAGAGTCGCTAAACAGGACTCGAACCGAATTACGTGTGACCCCACCAATGGATTCCTCGTTCGGAGAGCAATCCGTTGGTGGGGTCACATCGAGTCACATACGTTCGGTTCGAGTCCTGTTTAGCGACTCTGGAGCTCAAAACGCGTCGAGTTTTGGCCGCCGGCGCCGGTCTTCTGGCGCACAGTGTGCTGGTTCCAATTAGCGCCGTGTTGTTGGCGGCGCTGCTATCGCCGCCCCGGGGCGCCGCGTCGCTGGGGACGCCACCACGGACTCGGCGGGGGGTCATCACCGTGGCCATGCACGGCGCGCTGGATTGCCCGCCGTGACGGCGTCGTGGACGGCCAGGCCTCGGGCAGGCGGCCCCTGCAGACAGCCCTCCGTCTCTCTCGCGCTCACGGCGCGCCCCCTGCCGCCGTGCGGGTGCGACAGAGACAGCGACCCAGCATGGAGCCCCGGGGGGCATGGCCACGCCCCGTGCGTGCGAGAGAGACAGAGCGACGACGGCGACTCTCGGAATCAGCCGCCAAGGAGGCTCGGACACCATTTCCGGGAGCCACAACACGTACGACCGAGTACGACGGCCACAAGGGCTCGGGAAACGGTGCGGATATAGGGTTGCCGCCGAGCAACGCCGCGGCTAGGGCTGCCACCCACCCTCCGCAGCCCCGGGCAGAAACCGGGTTTTACTAGCACCGCGTTAATCTCGAAACCGCCGTTCGAAGGGTTGACGCGGAGCGCCGCGCCCGGCCGCGCCACAACCGCGGTCGCCCAGCCCGGCCCAGCCCCTGCAGACCGAACCCCTAAATCTCGTCGCTCTGTCTCTCTCGCCCCTGACGAGACGCCCAGCGAGCGCGACAGAGACGACAAAAACCACTCTCGGAATCAGTCTAACGGCAAGCTCCGCGCTTCGCACCCTTCCAGGCCTTCCAGGCAGCCGCCCCAGTCGCGTTTAACTATCGCCGTATTGCGGGCTATTTTTGCACCGAGCCTTTACGCCTGGCGGGGCGTGGCGGGGCGGGGCGTGGCGGGGTGGGGCGGGGCGGCGTTCGCACGCGATGCTTGTCGGCGAATCAAGCGGCAACGCCAAGGCTAAGGGCAGACTCGGGCCTTGGGTGGCGCGGTTGCGCGCGGCAGGGCCCCACCGGGCCCACCGGGCCCCACCCCCACAAACCCCACACCGCATCGCGCCGCGCCCCCCAGCATGCCCCAGCACCGACCGGCCCCTCCAAAAAAACAAACAAATAATACAAAAATAAAAATAACAACAATACGGCCTAAGCGTGAAAAGGGAAAAACCGACCGCGCCTCCAGGAAGACTCGAACCCGCGTCGAACTCGGTACAAGCGCTCGGAAATATCCGCCCAGAATAGACCTGCATCGGGACAACGAGGGCCGCGTCGCTTCCCTTCCGCGGCCGACACGGGCCGGCAGTGCGAGCGAGACAGAGAGAGAGCGACCGGGGTATAAATACTCCAGCGGGGACCAGGCGGGGACCTTGCGCCATTGGGGCGGGCCGGGCCGCCTCCAAAATACTAGCAGCCACTCTTCCTTTCGGCCGGGACAGCGCGGCGGAAGGAACGAGCGAGAGGGAGAGAGGGAGAGAGGAGGAGGAAGATAGGCGCAAGAAGGAGAGCGAGGAAGAGCGACGAAGGCGAGAAGAGGCGCAAGAGGAGCGAGAAAGAGCGACGAAGGAGGAGAAAGAAGAGAAGTGAAAGCAGAACGAGAGGGAGAGAGAGAGAGAGAGAACGGAATGGGATGCGCGACACCCCCGCAGCCTAGGCCAGCCCAGGCAATTAGCGCGGGCATCCGGCACCCCGGCACGCAAGGGCCGTGCACTTAACACGTAACACCTGCCGCTCCGTGCACGGTGCATGCCTGGCCCGTGCACACAAAAAACCGTATGCAGCAAATCAAAACCCGTATGAGGCAGACCAAAAGCCGTATACGGCAAACAAAAAACCGTATGCGGCAAATCAAAAACCGTATGAGGCAGACCAAAAGCCGTATACGGCAAACAAAAACCGTATGCGGCAAATCAAAAACCGTATGAGGCAGACCAAAAGCCGTATACGGCAAACAAAAAACCGTATGCGGCAAATCAAAAACCGTATGAGGCAGACCAAAAGCCGTATACGGCAAACAAAAAACCGTATGCGGCAAATCAAAAACCGTATGAGGCAAATCAAAAACCGTATGAGGCAGACCAAAAGCCGTATGCGGCAAATCAAAAACCGTATGAGGCAGACCAAAAGCCGTATACGGCAAACAAAAAACCGTATGCGGCAAATCAAAAACCGTATGAGGCAGACCAAAAGCCGTGTACGGCAAACAAAAAACCGTATGCGGCAAATCAAAAACCGTATGAGGCAGACCAAAAGCCGTATACGGCAAACAAAAAACCGTATGCGGCAAATCAAAAACCGTATGAGGCAGACCAAAAGCCGTATGCGGCAAATCAAAAACCGTATGCGGCAAATCAAAAACCGTATGAGGCAGACCAAAAGCCGTATACGGCAAACAAAAAACCGTATGCGGCAAATCAAAAACCGTATGAGGCAGACCAAAAGCCGTGTACGGCAAACAAAAAACCGTATGCGGCAAATCAAAAACCGTATGAGGCAGACCAAAAGCCGTATACGGCAAACAAAAAACCGTATGCGGCAAATCAAAAACCGTATGAGGCAGACCAAAAGCCGTATACGGCAAACAAAAACCGTACGCAAACAAAAACCGTATGAGGCAGACCAAACCGAAACCCAAACAAAACCTGCGGCAAATCAAAAACCGTATGAGGCAGACCAAAAGCCGTATACGGCAAACAAAAAACCGTATGCGGCAAATCAAAAACCGTATGAGGCAGACCAAAAGCCGTATACGGCAAACAAAAAACCGTATGCGGCAAATCAAAAACCGTATGAGGCAAATCAAAAACCGTATGAGGCAGACCAAAAGCCGTATGCGGCAGCACACACGTGCCTGCAGGCCTGCACTGCACCCGTCTCTCTCGCACTCGTTCGGCAGTGTATAAGGAGCGACGGCCAAAGACGCGTTTTGAGCTCCAGAGTCGCTAAATGGGACTCGAACCGAACGTGTGACCCCACCAATGGATTGCTCTCCGCACGAGGAATCCATTGGTGGGGTCACACGGTCGGCTCGAGTTCCCATTTAGCGACTCTGGAGCCCAAAACGCGTCTAGAGTTCAGGCCGCGCCTCCACCGCACCGGTCTTCTGGCCCATCGTACCTTCGGCGCCGGTGCGAGAGAGACAGACCGACGGCCGCATTGTGCGGGATCTGTCGACGGGGCGCCGTCAAGGACGTGACGCCGGCGTCGAGGCCGCCGCCACGGGCCAGTGACATCTCCACCCTCGCTTTCGCCGCTGTCGCCACACCAGAAGGGGGTGTCTAGGTGTGCACGGGCCTCCCTCTGGCCTGCTCATGGCCTGCCCACGGCCTGGCCCGCGTGACGTGGTCGACGAAATGTCAAAGCCACTCCAAGCGGAGGGGGTGGGGACGTAATGGGTGAACTTGGCCAGGGACGGGGGTGGTGTAGGCTCGGGTGAGGGTAGCGGGTGGAGGGCAGTTTGGCGAGGGGGGGCGTAGGTTAGGCAGTTTCACTGGGGTACGATCCAGGTGATTTCTTTAGTTTTCGCATAGGTTTGTGAGAGGGTAGGGGCTGGGGGTGGAGGCGGCTGGAGTGGGGAGCAGGGCTGGGGGTGGTGCGGGGGCAGTGTTTGGGCAATGTCACCCAACAGAGGGAAACGGGAAGAGGGGGGGGGGGCGTGGACTTCCCAACCCGGCCGTGAGTCAGAAACGGCAAACGCCCCAACCCCCGTTGCACGCTCCGCGCTGCCCCGCGCTGCTCCGCCAGGGACACTGACAAAAAAACGAAATTCCCTTTTCTTTCCTTCCCGCGGATGTCGGCTCGATCACAGAGTCGTCTTTGAACCGGAAACGGCAACGGCGCGACGGCCGCCTCCACGCCTTGCTCAACGCCGTGGAGCCGCGGACGGCAGCGGCCGCCACGCCCTCCTTCGTGCCGGGGCGCCATCACGGCGCCATCGGGGTGCTCCAATCCCACTGATAGAAACCAACAAGTTTGGAGCGGCGCGGGGACTCGAACCGGCGACCTCGCGGTCCGAAAGCGGACGCCCCGTCCCCCTGCGCCACGCGGCCACGCGGAGGCCCGGCCCGCCTCAGGCCTGCCGCCCTCATCAATCCGACAAACCTCTCCCTCTTTTATCGGATTCCCTCCGACCGGCCGCCCCGCGCCGCCCGCGCCTTCACAATGCAAGTCAGTGGGATTCCCCCCAGCGGCAGCCCGCCCCGCCCCGCCCCCCGGCCGCGCGCGCTGCCTACCTACAAGGAGGCCGAGGACAAGCCAAGCCGCCTCGCGACCAGCCTTTCATTTATTCATCCCGAGCGGATCCCTCGTGCATCGGCATCAAGGCGGGCGCACGCCGCGCACGCCGCGCACGCTTGCTCGCCCTCTCTCTCCCACACTGGTGGGGCGTCGCGTCCCGCACGGGTTCGAGAGAGAGAGAGAGGCCGAATCAGCCAGCCTTGTATCGGGGCCAATGTCTGGCCGCCTAGCGCCGCGGATGCAACAGCTGCAGCGCCAGTGCACGCCAGTGCAGTGCAGCGGGCTGACTTACAGTGGGGCGGGGCGGGGCGAGCAGTCCGCCGCCATCCGGCGCGTCCCAAATATACCGATACACCACCGAGACCGGCTGGGCCGTACTGCACTGCAAGGCACAGCCACGCACAGCCACCACTAAGCTAAACCGAGCGCTGACCTTCCACTACTAACCTGCCCTGGCCGCGGCGTGCGGCGCACAGTGGGCCGGAAGACCGGTGCAGGCGGCCAAAACTCTAGACGCGTTTTGAGCTCCAGAGTCGCTTAGATGGGACTCGAATCGAACGTGTGACCCCACCAATGGATTGCTCTCCAAACGAGGAATCTGTTGGAGGGGTCATACGCTCCGTTCGAGTCCCATCTAGCGACTCTAGGGCTAAAAACGCGTCTAGGATTTTGTCCACCTGCGCCGGTCTTCCGGCCCACTGTGCGTTCGTGCTGCGTGGTGCACTCGCATTGCCGGCACGCGCTTTGCACCCCTCCCCTCCCCCTTTCCCTCTCATCAATTATTCGCACGTCGTTAACTCGGCGCCGCCGTTATTCGCAGTCTTTCCCGTCCGAATTAACGACCGCCAGTGCAACGCTCGGCCCGCGGGGTTCTGTCTCGCTCGCACGACTCGCGCGCCCCGCCCCGCGGCGAACATACTGCACACGGCCACGACGCGGCCGAAGTTCGGCCTGCATCAGCGAAGCATCAGCCCTCCGCGGGGCCAGGGTCGCCAGGGTTCGACTGCTGCTCGCGCGGCGCCTTTGTTTTGTTTGGAAACAAAGCGGGGGGAGGCTCCGCGCCGCGGGTTGCCTTCGTGCCTACACGAGGCCCACTATGCCTACCCACGCACGACGGATCGAACACCTTCCACAAGCCGCCCACTTCCATTTCCAAAAACAAAAGCACGACTTCGAAACAACAACAAGGGGCTGTCGGTGCATCCCGGTGCACTCCCTGGGACTCACCCCGGCACGGGGAGCAACCCCTGCTCCAGGTCAACAAGCTCGCCGGCTGCGCTGGGCCAAGGTGTGGCCTTGGACTGGGCCTCGGCGCCCTCGGCTGGGCCTGCACGGTGCACGCTAGAGCACGCTGGAGACCACCACTGCAGGGACACTGTAGGGACGCGGCAGCCTCGGCGCCGTGCAACCCGCGGACTACGACTACTCCATGCACGCCACCGCGCTGGCTGGGCTGGGCAGGCTGGGCCGCCGAGCTCCTGGACGGGGAGGGGGCGGCCCGGGGGCGGGCTGGGGGCGGCGCGAGGCGCGAGGCGGCGGTGCCCCCGCCCCCACCCCCGTACGGCGCAAGGGGTCGCAGCCCCGTCCACCGGGCCCCTGCCGCCCCCGCCGCCTCAACAGACGCCCCGCAGCCCACTGACCCAATTTCGACAGGCGTCCCCGCCGCCCAGGCAGCCCGCCACGGGGACTAGGGCACGGGACTGGTCGGGTCGGGGTGGCCTGGTCCGGGCGGCCTGGTCCGGGCGGCCTGGTCCGGGCGGCCTGGTCCGGGCGGCCCGATTCCGGGCAGGTCGGCCAGGAGGGTACGGACTGCGGACAGCACCCCGGGTGGGGTACCCGCGAGGCGGGGTGGCGGGCTGGCGGTGGGTGGGGGCGCCACGAGTACCAGCGTGTAACTCGTGGCCGCGCCGCCCCTGGCCGCCCTGCCCCAGAAGTGGCACTGGCTCAGGGGGCGGCACACCAACTTGCCCACTGCTTCGGGGACCTCGGGGCCAAGGAGTGGCAGCACTGCTCTGGGGACGGCAACACTCGCAGCTTCCAGAAGAGGGTCTCGATCTCGATTCGAGACTGTGGGGCTGGGTCCGTCAGGGAAGCCCAGGGAAGACCTCGGCGTCGGCGTCCCGCGGGACGGGGGCCTGGGGGGCCTGGCCACCAGACCGCCGCGCACCAGCGCACACTCACTGAACCCACCTGACAAGCATCAGACTAGCTGACCACTGGGAATGCTAAGGCCCAGCGCATCAAGCCCAGTTCAACATTTTTGGGATTCCGAAGCAAATTTGGAAATGTACTCGTAAACTCATTCATAGTTGTCCCCTTAAGAGAAAAGAACCCCAATATTCCACCCGAGCAAAATTTTCAGTAATTTGATTTAATGGTATAGCAATGCATTGCTGTCTGAAGACTCCTGCCGAGGTCGTATAGCCCACGGGACGGGGTATTCCCTCCATGCCCACAACAAGGCCGCCAATTGCAATAAAAACATGGAAACAAGCGGTTGGAAGCTGATGAAAGCCCCTGGACCTGAATGACTCCCTCGTCAGATAGTCTCCCATGCTTTTATGCAAAGTATACAGATGGTTTTCAAATCGTTTTCCTGCTAAAAGGACTCGTGTTCTATAAAAGTAAGAGGAACTCACCTACAGGCTGCAGAATGGTAAGCAATGCAGCTTCAGCACCAATTACATCTGAAAGAGAAAGGAGGAATATTATTATAACAATAAAGCCAAAGCAGCAAATAGAAAAGAAAAAAAATTGTCACTTCATTCATTTTTGACGCATTCATTCGTCCATTCATTCATTCACTCATTCAGCAAATGTTCAGTAAACATTCTGGGGACAACGTCAGTAACTACAAAATAAAAGGGAATTGCAAAAATAATCATCAAACGCTATAGGAGTTCGTATAAATAAAATGATGTACTGTACTAGTCGTTGGCAAGGTTTCTTCGTACATGACAACAATGACAATTTAAACATAATCGTGATATTAGTAAAATGGGTAGTGAAAAGCCATAACGAACCAAACAGAGTTAAACGCTCAATGGAACTGAGGGAATGGTAAACAATGACCACCTCATCCAGACGACAAACACAAATGATATTTTGGTCCCATCACAGAGTTTGACAGCGTAACCTATCAACCCCCACTGGAAACAAACCCATCTGCGTCTCGACTATCCAGTCACAGCTGATTCATGCAATCAGAGCAGTAGAGACGGGATCGAAGACCGGGGAGAAGCCAGCCGAAGAGGAAAACTTTGGGCAATGATGCCACAAACCCGCACTGACAGGGGGTGGGACTTGGCGACGGTTCGCGGCCCAATGTCATGGAGTTGCCGAGCCGCGCGGCTGCTTGTTTGGCTCCGGGGCGGACGGTCCGGCCGAAACGAACAGCAGACGCTGCTCGCTTTGAGTTTGGAGGTAGCCATGTTCAATCCGATGGCCAGGTAGGCGGGTAGGCTGGCTTGGGCCCCTTACCTTCCCGTGTCGGCGATCCAGCCAGCCCCAGCGATGTCCCCGCGACCGCCAACTCAATCGAACAGCCCGGAGCGTCCGCACTTCCACAAAGTCTTCAACAAAAACACCAACGTTATTCTCCCACACAGCCAAGTGCGAGCGGGCTTGCAGAGCAACGGCCGCAACAGAGCTAATTTTAACTACAAACTCAAATCACCTTTCCCTACCTGATCGGCAAGTGTTTTTGTTTCTAGTTCTCCCTGCGGCCGCACGGGGGTGCTGATTCCAGCCCTGTTCAGTGAACGAAGCGCCAAGTTTGACCAGCAGCGACCGGCGAAGATATTTTGCCTAGGCCCGTCAGCTTCGTCTCTGCATTGGCTGGCAGCGGGGCTGCCTAGGCTAGACAAACAGATCTAGGCTAGACAGGTTTCAGCTGGACATGCCCTGCTCCGATTGGTTGTCTGCGGCGTCGTCTGTCTTCTGTTTTGATTCGGCTGAGTTGAAAGTTGGGGTGTTGGATGGCTGATGCTGATGACGTACGTTGCCTCCTGAAAGCTGTCACTGAAGGTAAACTCCTTGCAATTTCTTTCCCCGTATGTTTGTGTTTCTAGCCGTTTGGGGTGTGGGTGAAAGGGACCAGCTGGGCTTCCATAACTTCACTGAGGAAGATGTGTGCCATCTGGATCCTGTGACCTCCGTCAGTTTAGCCCAATCAAGGACCTTTTGCTTTCGAATATTAATGCCTGCTTGGCGAAATCATTGGGGGTCATTGCTTAAGTCCGTAATTCTGCATATAACTGCGCTGTCGCTTCTTCTATTCGGCACAAAACCTTTGACAAATTTGCTGGACACTCTCAACTTGGCTAGGTTATGTTTGTCTTTTCATTGCATCATGAATGTTTACTCTGACATGGAGGGGGCATTAACTTCTCCATGACGTTTGGTCATTCATGTCTGTTCATTGGAAATATATTATCGGGTTGCCCTCTAAATGTTCTCACGGTTGGTGTTTCAGGTTCTAGGCCATCAGCTGTTCATATGAACCAATGACGGCAAGACGTCGCAGAGGGGGCTCAGAATCGGAACAGGCCCCACTTATTGTAACAGGAAGTGCCTCCTATGCTAACGGTGGATCCGGATTCTCCTCCTCGACATTTACTCAGCATTCAGCCCATCATGTGGAAGATTCAGGCTACGGCCTAGACAGTGCTCCTTTTGGAAACGGAACTGTACCTGCATTTAACCCAGCCATGACGTCACGTGATAGAAGTAATGAGTTTGCCAGTGCGGTCAGGTCTCTGCAGGGACGCCAAATCATCCAGGCATCTCAAGCCAGAGATCCAAGGAAAGCACGACACATTCAGAGCTATGCAGAGTTTATGATGATTGCTCGGACCATTGGTAAAAACATTAGCAGTACCTACTCAAAGTTGGAAAAGCTAACCCTGCGTAAGTATAAACTAATTGTCTACTGTCTAGGCAAGTTTGCTTGCCCCTGTGCTTGCTTATCACTTGCTTAACTCATGCTCTTTTCTGACATTTTTCAGTTGCCAAACGTAGATCACTTTTCAATGACAGGCCTACAGAGATACAAGAGCTGACTTACATTATCAAAGAAGATCTGGGCAGTCTGAATGGACAGATTGCAAGACTGCAAGAGGTGGCCCGCAACCAGCGAAGATCCCAACAATCAGGGAGAGACCATCTCTTATCGCACTCATCAAGTGTGGTCTTAGCTCTGCAGTCCAAACTCGCATCCATGTCTTCAGATTTCAAAAATGTTTTAGAAGTTAGAACCGAGGTATGTCAAACTTTAACAGTTCTGAAAAACAAAAGAAGAAACAATGTTCTTGACAGAAATGACCAAGTTAAATTTAATTTATTTTCAGAACCTGAAGCAGCAAAAAACCAGAAGAGACCAATTTTCTCAAGGCCCATTATCAAGCTCTCTCCCACCCTCCGCACTTTCTGGACATCATCATGGCTCTGTTCTTTTATCTGAAGAACAAGTTTCAATCGACATGGAAGAGGGAAGTCCGTTACTCCCTCCGACTCAAAAGCAGGCTATGATTTATGATGAAACGGTATGTGCGAATGATTGTTCTCTTAAGTGGTTTCATATTGCTTGAAAAAAATCAGCTAATGATTATCTGGATTGCAATGGTTTCAGGACAACTACCTTCAAAGCAGAGCAGAAACAATGCAGAACATTGAATCAACCATAGTAGAATTAGGAGGAATTTTCACACAGCTTGCTACAATGGTGAAAGAGCAGGAAGAAATGGTTGAAAGGTAACTTTGATTTGATCAGGTTGCTGTAGTTGTTCTCAACTCAAACCCTAATAATTTATTTCTCTTTTTCCAGAATTGATACCAATGTACAAGATGCTGAACTCAATGTTGAGGCAGCTCATGGAGAAATTCTGAGATACTTCCAATCAGTCACATCAAATCGCTGGTTAATGATAAAAATATTTGCAGTTCTTATATTTTTCTTTATCTTCTTTGTTGTATTTTTGGCATAAATTATCCTCTCTTGTCTGTTTGTCAAACATGCCGTGGTTTCAGTGCAGCAAAAGAAGTTATCACTGATCAGTTACCAATAGATAGTTGTCTCTTTATTTGGTCATCACAGGTCTGTGGAAGCAATGGTTGTTTAAAGCATGATAAGCAGTACTCCAATTCAAAGTTCAATATATTTTTCTCACTTTTCCAATTTTTAAGAGTATTGCTGTCTGAATATTGTTTATCAAGGCACAGATATTTATACCTTGAGTATGACACAATAAATTTGATGTTAATGTTGCTGCTCACTTTTGAAATTTTAAAACCTAAAACATAATTAATGTATGAGTAAGACTTTGCAGACTTGTCAGACTTGTACTGTGCAAGAAATTTGTGTGATTATTGTAATTTGACAGCATCCTGGATGTCTTTACAAGATCTTTATATTTTGTACATGTTATATGGTAATTGTACAATCTGAATAGAGTTGGTAGACTTCCAATGTTTTACTCTTTCTATATCATATGCTATGAATACTAGTAGGTATATTTTTTTAAACCTGAATATTATCTTTTATTTACTAAGAACCAAACATCTTTGTTTGACTTGCCTGTGGTTATGTTTTCTCCTTTTATATAGAACTTCAATATATTATTATTGTTTGTTGTTTATAAAGTTCCAATTTATGCAAACAGCAGTTTCAGTTTTTATGCTGCTTTGATATTCTTTGCAATAACATTCAATTTCCTTAGTGCAAGGTCTCCTCTCTCTTCTTGGTTGTCCATACTCTGGATCTTTGCTAGTTGTTAGTGCACTTCACATACCGTTTGTGGTTGGCCACTGCAGGTCTCTGGTCCTTCCATCAGGAACTTTAGTAAATGATTACTGCCCTTTTATGATCATTCCATATCTGTTGAATGTTCATGTGTAGAATAAACTGTTGCCTTTATCATTTTGATTGTTGTGGATTTTTTGTACATAGTGCAACATCTCAGTTTGGAAACTGAAATGAGTATCAATGAGTTGTGTCCTCAACTACCCCCTCCCCTTTCCAGCCGTGTAGCTATCCTATTTCTTGTATTGTGTTTAAATGTGTTCCAGTCTTTTGATAGAATTTTGTGTTATCATTCCTACAACTTTTTTTGGGTCTAGTATTTGTAACGTGATTTTTTGTTTTCATGCCTCACATACTAAGTGTGCCAAGAAAGTCTGATTATGGTGAATTTCTGAAGCCTCACTCAATGTACTATATGTTAAGTACAGGTACAGTGATATTGCACTATTGAAGACTGAAATGCATGGCCCATCATCTTTGATCCAGCAAAATTTATAAAATTGTGTCATTCGAATTGGGCAGAGAAGGTTGTGGAAGAAGACTGTCATGCGGTACAGATTTTAAATTGTACAGTAGCTTGAGAGCTGTTTGTTATTTGTTTACTCAGCTGGGCTGAACTCTTATGGATATCTGTACCTCACTCGAATCCTACATGTTTGAAACAACTTTGAATCATGGAAGTGCCTACTATCTGTATTTGTATTGCTATTTTACTTACATAATGAATGAAGTGTTATTTGGTCCTGAAAGATGATACCATGATTTCATGGGAAAGTGTTACCGTCAAATAAATAGCACATACAAGTTGATTGATTGTGTTAAATGCATTTATTAGTGCCACCCTGCAAAAAAAAAAAAAATCCTTTCTCTCTCTCTTCATTCAGTTTTAATTTTTAAAACAATGTGGCATGATATGTTCTGCCACACAATCAGTCACAGTTTGTTTGAGGCACAACTGTTGTGGAAACAGCAATATTTGCCATGACAATTTGTAAGTAATATTAGAATATGGCAAATGACGTAACATTTTAATTTCAGAACACTAAACAGTAAACTTATTGGCCATTGATACACAAGATACAAATTTTGTACAAGTAGTATGTGCTTGCATTACAAGCATTAGGGCATGAAATTTCACATCCTTCCCTAAATATAAACTAGTCACCATTTAATTTTCTTACTAAAGAGAGTTCATGAAATTTTGAGAAGATTATGGAAACTCGAGTCCTGAATGAGAGCATGATGTTTTGGGGGAAACTCTGCAGCTGCAGTCTTAATCTGACAAAATCTTTTACTTCTACATGAAAAAATATGCCAAGAAAATAACATGAGATGAAAGTGAAAGTTACTGCCCCAAGATCCCCTGTGTGTTTTACATGCACATATTAGAAATTTACTTTCTGTTCCAAAACCACCTACTAATATTTACAAGGAAAAACAGCATTTATTCTTAAAAACTAAACTGAGTGGGTTGAGAGTGTTTCTGATCACCTACTCTGACTCACCTGTACATCGGAATTTACAAATTGAAAAGTATTCCTATTGTCATTTTTTTTCCTGAAGGAGTACCATTTTCAGTGAATACATCAGAATCAAATCAAGTGATATGAAACTGAAAATTTTTGGATAAACCTTGAGAGGAGGGCGCCCTCCTCTCAAGGATAAACTTTGCCTCATACAGGATGTTTTACTTCCAATTTAATATCTACAATGTCTTTGAAATTTTATACAAAACAGATACAACATTAAAGCTAGTGGAACGAATAACAGGTCTTTGCTAAATTACAAAATTAGTTACATATCATTCAGTCAATTGGGAAGAATTCCACAGTTTAAGAGGAACGCCAAGTCTACAAACTATCCTCTTGAATAAAATGAAACACCTCGGTCAGGTTCTCCAGAAAACACATCATCTCTGTATGAGTGGGGTAACTTGGTCTTAAAGTTAGGATCTTAATCTTGAACGCGTAGATACAGGGTGGAGCTTGGGAATAAGGAGCTTAACCGATTTGTGACATAGCTTTGTTACATGTACAGAGCAGAACACAACAGCACTTAAGTCACAGGTGACACCGTCTGGCTTGGTGGCTTTCTCAGGTATGTAAGTAAGAGGGAGTTTATTCGCCAAGGAAAACAGATGGCGCAACCGAGTGACATTCGACCCTGGCTGGTTTGGGGCAGACATGAACTTAGCTCGCGCTCCACCACGGATCGCTCACTCCATTTAGAAACGCATTCCCCGTCCAGTGCGTCGCTGTGTCGCCACACCAATCCACACAAAGCAATCACCGCCAGTCAAATCCGGAGGGATCTCCTAGACATGTCAAACCGAAACCAGTCTCATCGCACAATCAAGAAAATGCACTTCTCTGAGTGGAACTGGGACTCCCTGTCCTACCCAGGGAAGCCCCTCACAGGTACATCCCGTTGACCAGGTAGTCGGCGTCGTGGGCGTACTGCGACTGTCCGCCGCGCCGCAGCATCCTTCGCTTGATGACGCGCACCCGGCAGACGATCACCACCAGCATGAGGGACGTCAGGATCATGCCTGGAACACGGTCGAGTTCAAGACAACGTGAGGACGCTGCGGAGTGAGGCCATGGCGGGGCGGGCCCGAAAGGCAGAAGATCAAAGGCAGACGTTAATCGCAATAGCATCGCATGGCGGCACGAACGCCGTGCGGGCAGGCCGTCCCGCCGGCAGGCCTGCCTGCGGGACGGCCTACTCGCACGGCTCCGTAGTGGGCCAGAAGACGACGGCGGCCGTAACTCTACACGCGTATTGAGCTCCAGAGTCGCTAAACAGGACTCTCCTCGTTCGGAGAGCAATCCATTGGTGGGGTCACACGTTCGGTTCGAGTCCCATTTAGCGACTCTGGAGCTCAAAACGCGTCCGGGATTCTGGCCACCTCCACCGGCCTTCTGGCTCACTGAGCGCCGCCATTCTCTTCCCTCACCGAGAACGAGGGAGATGATGGCGCCCTTGGGGCTGACGGTAGGCCCGTCCACCACGTCCGACAGCATGGCCATCTCGGCGCGCACCGCCTGCTCGTCCGCGTCGCCCTCGCCGTCGCCGCCCTTCTTGGCGCCGCTCCGCAACGCGGGCTTCGACGCCGTGCCTGTCTTGTTAGACGCCGCGGGTTGACCTGTCAACAAAATTATGTTAAACATTTTAAATTTACTGTCTAAAATATCCTTGGTTGAGGCCTTTACCTACCCGCTGTCTGGTTGGTGACTGCAGCGGCCGGTGGCAGCGTCGTCACCTTCGCAAGTTCCAGCTGCTTTTTGACGGAGTTGGCCTTGTCGGCAGGCCGCGGCCGCGGCGTGGGGGCGGGCGAGGGCGCGGGGGCGGCGGAGGCGAAGGCGGAGGCGTTGTTCGCGGGGGCGGCCGGCGCGGGCGTGGGGGCGGCGGGACGCTGGAAGGCGGGCGGCGCGGCGCCTCCCCCTTGGCCGCCCCCTTGGCCGCCGCCCTGGCCCTGTTGCCGCGGGGGCTGCTTCTCGTAGGGCACCGAAGTCAAGTCCGCCTCCAGCCTCCGGCTGCCGTCCTCCCCCTGTAGTCCCTGGACGAAAATGATAAAGTGGCGATGGTGGGATTCGAACCCTCGCACAATGGGCTAGAAGACCGGTAGAGGTGGTCAAAACTCTAGACGCGTTTTGAGCTCCAGCGTCGCTAAAAGAGACTCGAACTGATCGTGTGACCCCACCAATGAATTGCTCTCCGAACGAGGAATCCACTGGTGGGGGTCACACGTTCGGTTCGAGTCCTGTTAAGCGACTCTGAAGCTCAAAACGCGTCCAGAGTTTTGGCCGCCTCCACGGGCCGGGCCACGGCCTCGGCGACGGCACTCACCGCGCGCGCCGGGTTGCCCATCTGCAGGCGGCTCTCGGCGCCTTGGCTGCCGCCGTCCTCGTAGAAGTAGTCGTTGCCGCCGTACTGGCCGCCGTACGACGGGGAGCCGCGCAGTGGACCCGCCGGACCCGCCTGCCCCGCCTGGCCGGCACCGGCGCGGAGCGGCGTGTAGTCGTCTGCAAGAGCGACAAGCATGAGACACCGCTTCACTCTCAGCCGCACGCATGGTGTCACGACATTTGCAGACGTTGAGTGGCCGCAGCCTCCAATCTGGCTGTGGCTTGGGCGCCCAAGGCCTCCCCCAACGCACCTGACTGACGCCCCGGTCCGCCCTGCTGGTTGTAGTATGGGTTGTTCTGCCCGGGGCCCAGCATCGAGTCTCCGTAGCCCGCTCCGCTGTGCGACAGTGTAGGGCACGCGTTAGAGAGACAAAAACGGGCTGCGCACTTTGTACTGTACCGCTGTAATGGGCCAGAAGACCGGCGGAGGCGCACAAAACTCCAGACGCGTCTGGAGCTCCAGAATCGCTGAATAGGACACAAATTGAACGTGTGACTTCATCAATGGATTGCTCATTCGGAAGCGATCCATTGGTGGGGTCACACGTCCGACTTGAGTCCTATTCAGCGATTCTGGAGCTCCAGACGCGTCTGGATTTTTGACCGACTCCACCGGTCTTCTGGCCCACTGCGGTACGCGTAGTGCACGACTTGGTACCTGTTCTGGAGCTCCTCGCCGCCGTACACCTGGTGTGGGTGGTTGTGCATGCGGTAGTGGTCGCTGTCCAGGACGCCTCCTTTGTGGGTAAAGATGTGGCTGTTGTGTTCTGCAAAATTCAGGGTTTGCCTAAGTTACTTGAAAAAAGTAAAATAATTCCTAACAAAAAAAAGCACAACTTTTTTTTTCTCTTTTTAATTTGGTATTTGAGTGTTGGAGCGTACCTCCTGCTCGGTAAGGGTTGGCGCCGCTGTCCCACTGGTTGACCTGGTTGACGCCCACCCTGGCCACGGTGCCGGTCCGCTGGAACAGGGGGATCTGCTGCTGTTGTTGCTGCAGCTGCTGTTGTTGTTGTTGCTGCAGCAGCAGCTGCTGTTGCTGCAGGAGGAGTTGTTGCTGTTGCTGCAGCGCAGCCGCCATGTCCTGCTGCTGCTGTTGTTGTTGCTGCTGCTGTTGTTGTTGCTGCTGCTGCTGGGGCTGCTGCTGGACGGGCAGCTGCTGCTCCTGTTCAGGCTGGGAGGGAGCACGGGGAGGGGACGGCGGTTGCGGCCTCAGTGGCGTCTGTGACTGCACTGCAGTTGAATCTGCGACAGTTGGAACCAATACTCGTTGAACGATCTATCCTAACCAAGAATTTTCAGGAAATGAGTGGGCGATTTGGCGTAGTGACCTGTCTGGTGGGCCGCCGCCATGACCCCCTGCATCCTGCCGCCCTGTTGCTGCGGTAGCTGCGGTAGCTGCGGTAGCTGCGTGAGCTGCCCCAGCTGGTCGGACAGTGACATCTGGGGCGCCTCCACGCTCTGCTGCGGCTGCTGCTTCTGCTGCGGCTGCGCTTGCAACTGCTGCGCCTGCTTCTGCAGCTGCTGCTGCTGCTGCTGGGCCCAGGTCCAGGCGTTGTAGGCGTTCAGGGCCTGCTCCGTCTGCTGCGGGGCCGCGGCGTGCTGCTGCTGCAGTGGTAGGAGCTGTTGCTGCACCTGCTGGCAGAGTCGGGCATAGCCCCGTCTCGTTTACCTGTCTGCCCCGATTCGTCTATTTTCAATTATAGCGGGCTCACAGTGGGCCGGAAGACCGGCGCAGGCGGACAAAATCTGGACGCGTTTTGAGCTCTAAAGTCGCTGAACAGGACTCGAAGCGAACGTGCGACCCCATGGATTAATTCCTCATTCGGAGAGCAATCCATTGATGGGGCCACACGTTCGGCTCGAGTACTTTTTAGCGACTCTGGAGCTCAAAACGCGCCTAGAGTTTTGACCGCATCCACCGGTCCCCTGGCCCACTGTGGGGCTGCTGGACCGACCTTGAGGTCCGCCATGGAGAGCACGGGGTACTGCTGCCGCTGCTGGTCCCGCAGGTCCATCAACTCCTGGGCGTGGATGTGGGAGTCGCCAGCCGCCTCCTCCACCTAACAAAAAAGAATCATCATTGAACACATTGGGGACGGATTTGAACCTATAATAGTCAGATCCCGAAACAAGCGCGCTAGCCGCTCGGCTACGCGGCTACCTTAGCGTTGGCGCCGATCCTGCCGTTGGCGCCGACAGCGATACCGGTCATGACCCGGCTGGCGTCGGGCCTGCCGAAGGTCGAAGCATCCCCGCCGAGCAGGCCAGGTGAGGCCGGCGCTGTCGTGGAAAAGTCACAATTTGAATTTTAGAATATTGAAATTCGAATTTGTAAACCAATACAGTTTTAGAAATTTAATATCACTACCATTCAGGCTCGGACTGGCCCCCAAAAGGCCCCAGCGGATAAGACCGCTAAAGGCCCCCGATCATCATTATGTTTTTACCCTTCATGACCAACTTTGTGAGGCTACCGCTCCCAAACTAGTTGCGGTCAATAGCCTTCCCGATACAGGGCATGAAAGCGTAGGGTCTTAAGAATACTAGGGCGTCGAGGGAAGCCTTTTACGGCAACTACATTGGACATAGTGGCCGCCCAAAGTCAGCAAAATCGGCAAATTTCCGAGATTCGACCACTTTTTGACCAACTTGGTCGGAAAATCGTTGCGGTCAAAGCCAAAATCGTTGTGGTCAACGTCTTCCCGATACAGGGCATGAAAGAGTAGGGTCTTAAGAATACTAGGACGTCGAGGGAGGCCTTTTACGGCGACTAGATTGGACACAGTGGCCACCCAAACTCAGCAAAATCGGCAAATTTCCGAGATTCGACCACTTTTTGACCAACTTGGTCGGAAAATCGTTGCGGTCAAAGCCAAAATCGTTGTGGTCAACGTCTTCCCGATACAGGGCATGAAAGAGTAGGGTCTTAAAAATACTAGGACGTCGAGGGAGGCCTTTTACGGCGACTAGATTGGACACAGTGGCCACCCAAAGTCAGCAAAATCGGCAAATTTCCGAGATTCGACCACTTTTTGACCAACTTGGTCGGAAAATCGTTGCGGTCAAAGCCAAAATCGTTGTGGTCAACGTCTTCCCGATACAGGGCATGAAAGAGTAGGGTCTTAAGAATACTAGGACGTCGAGGGAGGCCTTTTACGGCGACTAGATCGGACGCAGTGGCCGCCCAAAATCAGCGAAAACGGCTACTTTCGGAGGTTCAGTCACCCTTTTTTTGACCAACTTTGAGACGTTACTGGTCCCAAACCCGAAGGCCCCGGCAGATTTTTCTGCCTGTCTGCCCTGGCCAGCCCGAGCCTGCTACCATTTTATAAATGTAAATCAAGTTCAACAGAAAACTGGAAAACAGTCAAATGATGCACACCCACAGGAAAGAAAACAAAGAAGGGGCGGTATTCGAACCCGCGCCAGACTCACCCTGCGTGACGGGGCAGTTGAGCTCGTCGGAGCCGTCGCTACACTGGGGGATGCCGTCGCACTGGTTGTACACGGCGATGCACTCCATGGAGGCGGTGCGGCAGCGGAACTGGATGGTCGACGGGCAGGGCGCGGGCACGCCGACGACGCCGGGGCCGCCGGCCACGCCCAGCGCCGGGGCCGCGCCGCCCTGGACGCCGCCCTGGACGCCGCCCTGGACGCCGCCCTGGCCCGCCAGGCCTGCAACACAACGGAGCGCGTTCCCTCGAGGCTTCAGCTTTTCTGGAGAATAGAGGCGGACGGGACGGATCCGCGTGCCCATTTCCATTTAAGAGACTCCTCAGTGGGCCAGAATGCCGGTGGAGGCGGCCAAAACTCTGGACGCGTTTTGAGCTCTAGAGTCGCTAAGCAGCGTGTGGCCCCACCAATGGATTCCTCGTTCGGAGAGCAATCCACTGGTGGGGTCACACGTTCGGTTCGAGTGCCATTTAGCGACTCTGGAGCTCAAAACGCGTCTGGGATTTTGACCGCCTCCACCGGTTCTGGCCCACTGTGCAGCGCGCTTGCTGCCTTGTCTTGTTTTCGTCGGGCACGGCGCGGCGGTGCGGCGGTACGGCACGCCGCGAGACCGCGCGGCCACGTGACCCCATTTGCCTGTTCCCGCGGGCTTGCTGAGCCTTGCTCCCCGCGGCCGCGCGGCCCGCTCCAGCATGAGAGGCTCCAGCATGCCGGCCGAGAGCCGTTTTCGTCGCTCTGTCCCTCTCGCACTCGCGGGCGTCGCGTATGGGCGCGAGAGAGGCAGAGCGGCGAAGACGACTCTCGGTATCATCCTTCAGGACACGCCCCGGCCGAGCCTCCACAGCCGAAGCTCCAAGTAGAACCATTCTCAACTACCAAAAAAAAAAAGTTGTTGGCAGTGGTGAGTCCTTCCAGCTCTCCAGTAAGGCTCCAGGCTCTCCGACTCTCCTCGGCGATCTGCAAGTCTGCCTGGCAGGACTCTCCGGCATGATGCCGAACCTCCGGAACCATGACTGCGGCATTCTCCAGCATCGCTCCAGCAGTCTGATTCCGAGTCGTATTCGTCGCTCTGCCTCTCTCGCACCTACACGGGACGCCCATGAGAGCGAGAGAGACAGAGCGACGGAAAGGACTCTCGGAATCCGTCTGCTGGCTGCCTCCAGGCTGCCTCCAGGCTGCAGTGCGCTTTCCAGCACAGCCCGCTCCAGGTCCTCCAGGCCCTCCAGGCCGCAGATTTGAACGTCAGGCCCCATCTGCGCCCTCATCTCGCGCACGACCTCAGCCGCCAGCGGCCGCCAGGTTGGCTGTCCGTCTCCCTCGCACGCTCGGGGCGGCACGGGGCGGCACGGGGCGGCACGGGCGGCACGGGGCGGCCCGCAGGGGCGCGAGAGAGACAGAGCGACTCAGCCAGCAGCGCATTCCGAATCCAGACATGTCTCTCGCGGAAACTGGAACAGCAACAAGAGTCTCTCCCGCGCTCCACGTCCGCCGCACGTCCGCGGCCACGGCGTCCACGACGGTGACCTTCACGGCGGCGGCTGGGATAATACGCGGGGCGGCCCTTTCCAAAGGGTGGCTTCAATTAAGCCAGATTCTGCCGTCGTGCCGGGCTCGCCGCTCGGACCGGCGCGGCACGGCACGGCGCGGCACGGCGCGGCACGGCGCCCCCGCAGTCGCGTGCAGCGGCGTGGGACCGCGAGGCCGAGGCGGGCCGCCGCGAGGCCTTGGTCAACCTGCCAGTGGCTCCGTCAAGCGATTCGGGGCTCCGGGAGAGAGAGAGAGAAGGCTAGAGGTGAACGGGCACCGCATCATTACAGTGTCAGTGGTGCCAACTGTTTAGCGGCAATTAAAACAGATAGCAGCCGTACGCCAACTGGGGCAGTCGGGCTGGGGTGGTCCAGCCTGACTGATGGTGAGCAGTCGGACAGACAGACAGAGAGACAGGCAGACCGTGTGTGTGTTTGTTTTCGAGAGAGCCGGGTGCAATCGTGATCCGAAAGTAAAACCTTTGTCGAGCCGCACAAGGGGATTATCCTGGTGGAGCTGGCGCGTGTCGCCGTCCGTCGAATCGCGTGCCCGGAGCCCCGGAGTTTCCGGAGGAAGTCTCGTCGCCTCCCGGCGCGGGCGGCGGAGCCCTCCATGCCTCCATGCCGGCAGCTGTCGCATCCGGAGACTGCAGGACGCCTGCAGGACGCCTGCAGGACGCTTCCAGGACGCGACCTCCTCCCCCCCCTCCCCCGCCACGCTCTGGTCACCCCACCCTGTGTTTGCCCTTCCGCCATCGGCCTGTCTTTCTTTCCCGCATTTCCTTCAAATTGGAGGAACAAAATTTTTCATAAAAAAAATCGCGAGTCATAACCCTCTTTTTTTCCGGCCCCGGTTACAGCAGTTTCCCGCCTTGCCGGTGGCTGTCGCCGCGATTCTGGTGTTGTTTTTGTCCGTCTTCCCGAATCCGGGCCGGCCGGGCCGCCGCAGTGAGTTCACAGGTCACGGCGTCGCGGCTGCCGCGACTGACAATAAGGCCGTTTCGTGGAAGTAGCGGCTTCTTTGCGGAGGTACACTCCGTTAGAAAAACAAAAAAACAAAAAACCGGCTTTGTTTCAGTTTTCCCATAGTGGGCGCGCGGGAATATGCGATGTCGTATCTTTTAATCGCTTCCGCCTAAATTAGGAAAATTCGGACCAGAAGCATTTTTCTGCCGAAAGCATTTTTATTTACCAAGTGCATTTTGTTTTTATTCTGTTTTTCCAACAGAGGACACCACAGCAACAGTGGGCCTTAAGACCTTCCCGAGGTACGGCATGAAAGAGTAGGGTCTTAGGAATACAAGGGCGTTAAGCGAGGCCTTCGACGGCCACTAGATTGGACGCGCTGGCTGCCCAGCGCCCAAAGTCGGCAAAAATTTGTGGGCGCGTTGCTACAGGACAACCGAGCTCCTAATTGAGTCACGTCGTCGTCCATCGTGGTGCTGCACTCCTACAAGCGCTACAAGCGTGCCGCCGTCCTCCTGTTACAGTGTCACAGTAGGACGCGTACACAAAGTACGTGACGCGTCATCTCTGCAGGGTCATCGCTCCAGCGCTCCAGGCCAGGACAGTGCCGGCACACACTGGAGGAGACACTGCACAGTGGGCCAGAAGACCGGTGGAGGCGGCCAAAACTCTAGACGCATTTTGAGCTCCAGAGTCGCTATAAGTCGCAAACCGTACGTGTGACCCCACCAATGGATTCCTCGTTCGGAGAGCGATCCATTGGTGGGGTCACACGTTAGGTTCGAGTCCCATTTAGCAACTCTGAAGCTCAAAACGCGTCCGGTATTTTTGACCGGAGCCTGCTGATGACACGAGCGTCCAAGTTTCCAAGTGCCACTCGACAGGCGCGAGCGTGCCCTGCTGCGATCTTTGCACACCCCTACATTGGGACAAGAAAGTTTTCCGACGGTCTGTCACTGCTGTCCGCACTCCACTTTTACCGTGCGAGAGAGATGACGAGGCTCCGCGTCCCTGAATGGGAATGGGCACCTGCCGGGGCCCGGCCGCTCGCCGTCTGTCTCCGTCCCCGTATCACCGTGACAACGCGTTGCCTGTCGCCGCGACTAACGGACTTCTTGCGTGGCTTATTCCCGAAAAAACAACATAAACAACAACACGACGAGAATGGTGTGTGAGTGCGCGCGGCTCCAGTGGGCCAGGCGGCGAGGCAAGGCGGTGCGCGGCCTAGGCCCGCAGCCCACCCCCGCGGCCGCGGAGTCCGCGCGGAGTCCCCGCTACGTGGGCAGGTACTGCAGGCGGGTTCCGAACGGCGTCGCCCCGTCTCCCTCGCACCAGCCTGGCTGCACGCGGGCCGCCGCCGCCGCGCGCGAGTGCGAGGGAGACGGGGGACGGCGGCGCGCCCGCACAGCCCGCACAGCCCGCGCAGCCCGCCGCGTCCGCGGCCAGGACCGGCGGCCGGGCCAGGACTGCCAGGACCAGTTCGTCCTCGGCACTTGCGCCCGTAGGTCGTCGACTCCGTGTTCGCTCAGCGCCGCTCGCTCGGGACCACTCGGGACTCGAGCTTTCGGTCCGCGCGTCGTCAGTGTGTGTCAGTGTGAGTGAGGGAGTGCGTGTGTGTGTCTGTGACGGCGTCGCCATGACGTCCAAGCTGCGGCGTGCCCCGCTGTTCACGTACAACGACATGGGGACCCGCTGCCTGGCCGCGTCCTTCGCCGGCGGCGCGCCGCCCCCGCGCACCCCGGTGGACACCACCCCGGTGGACACCACCCCGGCGCGCCGGCGCCCGGACCGCACCCCGGCCAGCACCCCGGACACCACCAGGCTGGATACGGACAGCACGGATACAGGGAGGCCCCGCCGCCCCCGCTGCCTTACAAGGTACTCGTCGACAGTGGGCCGGAAACCGGTGGAGGCGGCCAAAACTCTAGACGCGTTTTGAGCTCCAGAGTCGCTACAGGACTCGAACCGAACGTGTGACCCCACCAATGGATTGCTCTCCCAACGAGGATGGTCTATTTTCAAAAAGTTACACGTCAAATCGACTGAAAATATTAGTTCAATTTGGGCTTAATTTTCATTGGAAGCTCTCCTACTAAAAGAAAAAAACAGAACCAAGAAAATCAATCAAATTATGGTAAATTTGACTCAACAACTTTTTACAGTTTAGATACGTTGGTCTCGGTAGAGACTGTAAACAAAACTCGAATCCGACTCATGGCGGTAATGGGCGTTATGAAGAATGGCGTTTTCGAAAGGCGTTCTTGCGCCGCCGGGCATGCCCTGCAGGCTTCGGGCTGGTCAGGCTGCATCACGCTGGGGTGCGAGAGAGACAGAGCGAGGCAGCGCGGCGTGACAATTGCAACAGCGCGTCGAAGCCTAATGGTCTAATGGGGGTCCAGCACGGTCCAGGCTCCGGCCAGGCACAGCCAGGCAGAGCCGCAAGGCTGCAGCGCGGCGTGGCCCCAGGCCCTACGCCCCAGGCATCAGCCTGGAGAAAAGAAAGCTTTCGCAGTAGTGAGCGCCGCACAGTGGGCCAGAGGACCGGTGGAGGCGGCCAAAACTCTTGACGCGTTTTTGAGCTCCAGGGTCGCTGAACAGGACTCGAACCGAACGTGTGACCCCACCAATGGATTCCTCGTTCGGAGAGCAACCCATTGGTGGGGGGTCACACGTTCATTTCGAGCCCCGGTTAGCGACACTGGAGCTCAAAACGCGTCGAAAGTTTTGGCCGCCTCCACCGGTCTTCTGGCCCACTGTGCGCCATCCGGGCCCGGCGCTGCCCGGCACTGCCCGCCATGGCCCACACCAACTACTACTATATCCGACGCCTCACTCTCCTCCCCGCCTCTCGAATTGGAGCCCCGCTTCATTCGGCCAAGCCAACGACCCGGTCCCGGCGGCACCTGCTAACGATTCCGAGAGTCGTTTTCGTCGCTCTGTCTCTCTCGCACCCACACGGGACGCCCCAGGGATTGAGAGAGAGAGAGAGAGAGAGAGACAGAGCCACGAAAACGACTCGGATTCAGTCTGCTGGTGAGGATGCCGCTGGAGTGGCTGGAGGGACGTCAGTGACACCACGCGGCTGGACCCGACTGGAGTCGGCCGGTTCAATCAACTTTCCGCGGTAGGCCGCGGTTTTTTTTATAAAGAATCTTTTTAATAGCCGCCACTTCAGGGTGGGCGGTGCCCAAGGTCATCTGAAAGGTCATCGTAGAGCAAATTGTCCGAGTGCTTATCGTTGCCATCGCGGCGTGGGCGACAGTTTGCGGTGGCGGCGACGACGACGTTTCGAAAGGACACCGGTACACTCGGCGGGAAGCGAAGCACAGTGGGTTTGCCAGAAGACCGTTGGGGCGGTCAAAATCCCGGACGCGTTTTGAGATCCGTAGTCGCGAATGGGTGACCAACTGTACAAATGGATCGCTCTCGAACGAGGAATCATTGGTGGGGTCAAGTTGGTTCGAGAATTTTCCGACTTTTGAAGCTCAAAAGCACATGTGCGAGCAAACGGCCTGACTTGGGGATTGAAGCTCTGGCGCGCGGGCCCGCACGCTGAATGCAGGCGCGGGAATGTGGTCAAATTTTGTACAACGAATGTGGGAAGCTGTTCCCCCCTCGTCCGTAGTCGCTGAATGGGACTCGAACCGAACGTGTGACCCCATCAATGGATTACTCTCTAAACGAGGAACCCATTGGTGGGGTCACACGTTGGGTTCGAGTAGTATTTACCGACTCTGAAGCTCAAAACGCGAACCACTGTGCGAAGCCAGAAACGAAACGGCCGTGACTTTGGGGATTCGAACCCGCCTCCTGCGGCGCCGCGAGCCGGCACGCTGCCAATCAAGCCACGGGCGCGGCGAGTGTGATGAGCGCGGCGGGAAAGGAGGAAGCCATTGCGGCAACGAGGAAGAGCGCGGGCATGCGGCAGGGGCCGCGGAGGCCACGCCGGCGCATCTCCAGAAACAACGAAAAACCGCAAAAAAAGTCTCAGGCTCCTCCTCTCCTATTTGAGCGCCACAATGGTGCCACGGCACTGCCACGGGGCCGGCGCGCGCCGCGCACGCACTCGCTCTGTCTCTCTCGCACTACGGGGAGGGCCGCAGGCTGCCGCGGGTGTGCGAGAGAGACAGAGCGACGACTCTTCGGAACGCTGCGGTACCTTGGGCGGGAAAAGTCGCACGTGCATTCGCGGTGGCGCGAGGCGCGCGAGGCCCAACGGTGCGGCCCGCTGGAAGCAACAACAAATTCAAACTCAAATTCCTCCTCTCGCCGTCACGCAGTCACGGCAAAGCAGAGACTGCAGTCCTTGAAGGACACCAGAATGGCTACCCCGTTGACAGATTGCTGGTCCAGCCACCTCATTCGCGGGCGGGGCGGGGCGGGGCGGGCGACCCGCGCGCTACTGGGCCGAGTAACAGGACGGGAGAAACAATGAGTACATTTCGCTACCGCTTCCCGCACATGGAGTGTGCGGGTGCCGGCGGCGAGTGTGTGTGTAAAGAGGAAAAAAAGGCTTCTGGAAATATTTTTTTTAAACAAAAAAAGTGTTTCTTTGCCCCTTGGGAATTCAATTGCGTTATTATCCTTTCGTGAAGATTGGCAACTCTCGGTTGGTTCCTGCGTGCGTGCTCGCCCATACCTGCCGGACAGACGGACGGACGGGCAGACGGAGATATGGACCGTTACGCCAGTGAAGCGCAGAGAGGGCCGCAAGTGGTCCCGGGTTCATGTTTGTCACGTTTCTCTCTCTCTCTCTCTCTCTCTCTCTCTCTCTCTCTCTCTCTCTCTCTCTCTCTCTCTCTCTCTCTCCGGTCAGGGAAACGGAGGGTTATGGTCGTCCCTCAGTGACCGCGACCGCATGCACATTTGAAGCGGGTGTCCATTTTGAGGCGGAAGATTTCAGCGCGGCGTTTGCATGCCGTCCACACCGGCCCACAGAAGACCGGTGGAGGCGGCCAAAACTCTAGACGCGTTTTGAGCTCCAGAGCCGCTAAATGGGACTCGAACCGAACGTGTGACGGGGTCACACGCTCGGTTCGATCCCACTGAGCAACTCTAGAACTGAAAAGGCACCTAGAGTTTTGTCCGCCTCCACCGGCCTTCTACCTCAGCGTGCTGAAATCTGCCTTCAAACAGCCGCATTCACACCGCCCCAGCACCGCGGCGCCTTGCCGCGGACGTGTCAAAAAGAACGGGCTGCGCGCACCGCCGTGCACCGCGTGGGACCGCCACCACAACAAACAAAAAACCGCGTCGGCGTTTGGCCATTTTGTTATTTCGTTGCGCGCACCGAGGCACCAAGGCCGTGGGCGCAGCTCACCGCCTTGCCCACCGCCTTGGAAGGGCCCGACTTGGCCCGACTGCAGCGATGCACGCCAACAACATGAATGGAACAACAACAACAACAGGACCAGGTCATCCCCACCTCGCCAAGCTACCTGCAGTTAGGCCCCGGGCCGCCCCGTCCGCCCCGGGCGGACCGTCACGAACTGACCACTGAATAACGGGTGCCGGAGCGAGAGAGAGGGGCGGAGGGGGCGTGGAGCGGCCGGAGGAACCGGAGGGAGGGAGATGGGGAGCGGGCGGAGCGGCCGAGGCGCAATCAGGAAATTCGGTATTTTCGGAGTTTGTTTCTCATTTATTGGTCAGCCGTTTCCGGCAGGCTGAGAAAGTCGATCCCTTGAGGGGCTTCACGATGAACCACCATGCTGGCAGATTATTATTGGCAAGGCTCCTCGCGAACTCGAGGATTACGCTTCATGGGCGGGGACAGCATAATTACAGCATCATCATAAACCGACTGTACTCTGGAAAAAATAATGAAATCGGCTGAGAATTAGTATATTTCTCTAGGTGTTTCTGCCCTTGTGGTTAAGCCAATAATTGTAATTGGTTTAACTTGATTAATTTTTTGGGGGAGGGGGGGGGGGGCAGAAGGCGGATTTTGAAGCCTTTGACAAATGACTTCAGTCGATTTGACCTTTTTCTTGGACTACCAGTGCATGGGGCGTGGAGGGCTTTTACAATGATAACTGGAGTCGTTTTAAATTCATTATTTTATGACTTTACTTTTAATTTTTTTTTTGCGTGGGCGTGGATGGGTTCGACACGAGGTTCGACACGTGGAGGCGTCACGGTCCACGCTCCTCGTCTCCGCCCATCGGCCAGGCGCGTGCCAGCAGTGGTAAAAACAGACACAATGCTAAACCAATAATGGGAGGAAAGTCGGGCAGGGCACTGCCAGGGCACTGCCTGAACCGGAAGCGAAGGGAGTAAGGATCCATTGTGTCCACTGAACCCTGCAGGGCAAGACGCCTGTCCCATTCATTCAATCGCGCATTCATTCGTGCAATTGGACGCGCATTCATTCATTCATTCATTCATTCATTCATTCATTCATTCATTCATTCATTCATTCATTCATTCATTCATTCATTCATTCATTCATTCGTTCATTCGTTCGATCATTCATTCGTTTGGCCATTCATCCATTCGTTTATTAGCTGCATAATCAAATCAATAGCACATCATTGAGAATGCATTTCCGTTCGCCATATACAGAGAGCAGCAGGCCAACCCGAACTTCGTTGTCAATGCAAAGTGTAACGTCTCTTCTGCCCCCCCCTCTCTCTCTCTCTTTTCTTTATATTCCTTCCTCGTTTCTTCTTTTCCTCATACTTCTTCCCACACTTATTACACACCCAGACCTCGGGACACGCAGTGCAGTTTCACTTTCCCAAACCGATGAGCCACACAGACGCACACACGTACACAATCACACACACTCACACACACGCGCGCGCGCGCACGTACACACTTACTCACCAGGTTCAGCCCTCTGTTGCGCATGCCGCGCCCGCCAGGCCAGATGGCGGGAACTTTTTTTTATGATTTGAATTACACGCGTTTGTGTGTACTTGTGCACGCGCGCGCGCGCGCGCGCGTGTGTGTGTGTGTGTGTGTGTGTCTTATTGCCGTCATTTTCGGTGCGGCCTGACGCAGGGTGCTGCCGTTGCATGAACGCGCCATTCTCATCGGCAGGGAAACGGGAACGCAAAATGAACAGAGTAGCTGCTGCCAGTCTTGTTCAAAGCCCAAGGTTCAAGGTTCGAGACCGAGTCACGGCGGGCCAGGCGGGCGTGCCGACCCGTGGTCCACGGCCAGCCCTGTCGGCCCTGCGGGGCGTGGCCGGGCGTGGCGCTACCAAAGGATTATCGGCAGTATTACACAAGGCAACGAGGCGGCACCAAATAGCAGATCCTATCACCGTGGGGTGTTTAGGGATCCCCGATCACGGAGATTGAAACCAATTTTGCTTTAAGTTCATAGCGCACCCGACCACCTCGCCGAAAATGATGGTGAGAAGACGATAAGACGCGCCGTTGGGAAACGAAAAGTGAGCCGATCTGGATCAGGGCCAGTGCACTGCAGTGCCCGGGCAAGGTGAGCTCGAAGAAAGGTCGGTCGCCTTCGCAGTTTATTTACCCAGAAGAGGCGCTCGGAGGTAAACTCCTCCCTGCCGCACAGAAAGCCAGAAGGCCGGTGGAGGCGGCCAACACGCGTTTTGAGTTCTAGAGTCGCTACAGGACTGGAACCCAACCTGTGACCCCACCAACGGATTCCTCGTTTGTAGAGCAATCCATTGGTGGGGTCACACGTTCGGTTCAAGTCCCATTTAGCGACTCCTGGAGCTCAAAACGCGTCTTGAGTTTTGGCCACCTCCACCGGCCGTCTAGTCCACTGTGCGACCGCAGCAAGCAGCTGGCAAAAGGCGGGTAACAGAATCCTTTGTAAGGAAAAAAAAGGTCCTTAAGGATTTGTGCACGTGGCAATGAGAGGCGATATCAGCGACGACTGGTCGATCCGGTTCAGCGAGTACCTTCGGGTGGCTGAGCCTCCTCGTGTGCCTCCCAGGTGCCCTCCTCTCCCCCATCATGATCCCCTGCATCCCCGGCAGCGGTACATGAGATGCACTCACACACACACACACACACACACACACACACACACACACACACGCACACGCGCGCACACACAATGTTGTTGGGTTGTTGGCAGCCGAGCAGGTATTAATTAACTGTATTCCCTGTCGCAAAACAAGAGCTAGGGCCCCGCGGTCCCCGTCGGGGAAGCCTCGCAATGCAAATCGACCCCGCGGCCGTGCCAAGCCAATGCTGATGGCGGCTCTAAAGCCTGAAAGACGGAGCAATTGCAAAGTACCGCGGCAAAAAGAGAAGAGAGAAAAAGAGGTTTTACGTCATTAATGGTGTGGGGGCACACCACCACCACACTGCCGTGTCATGTGTCACAGTGGTGGATGCCCAGTCACGCTCCTCTTTGTGGTGTGCATTCGACGGCACGGCTCGCCCGTGACATTTGTGGGGCACGGCCTGGCCGCCCGGCCTGCCCGAAGAGCGAGCAACGAGTTCACAGAAATCATTTCGATTCGGAGGAAAATGGCCACACCGCCGCTCCAAACCACAGCCCTAGCAACACCAGTGCCCCCCAGTGCCCGCCAGTGCCACAACGGACGCAAAACACGACACACTTTGGCAGACGTCATCGGCATTCTTCCCGTTTTCGAGAGTTCTTCTCACGGTTCCCATTCGGTTCCCAGGCCGGAAGCGATCATGGCCATCGAGACGCGCGAAGAATTCAAAATGCAGGACGATAGTGCCCCCCCCCTCATTCCCCCGCGGCGGGGTCTCGGCTCCCTAGTTTCTCCAGAATGCACTCCAGCAGGACTCCGGCAGGACTCCAGCGGGAGTCCAGCGGGACCTCCTCCAGTCCCCCCTCTTCCTCATCACTCGCGGGCCAGGTGCGCAGCCCCCACTACGAGGTCACTGACTCGCCCTCCTCCTCCTCCTTCTCTTTAATCCGTGCGTCCATCTTGTTGTCGTCTCTCTTTATCTCTCTCTCTTCATTCCGCCGTTTTTGTTGCGTTCGCCCCCTGGCCGCCCCTGGCCAACTCTGGCGGCCTGCAGGCCCGTCGGCCGGCGCGGCCCGGCGAGGCGATTCAGGTGAGGAGAAATCAGAGCGCGTTCCGCATAGTCGCCGCCCGGCCGGGTCGCCCCGAGCGGCCCGCGCGGCCGGAGCCCCTTCCAGTGCAATTCATCCAAAAAGCAGCGACCCGCCCGCAGTTTCGCGCGGCCGGGTGTCATGAGGGACCCCAGCGGAGAGAAATCCCGCAGGGATCCCGGAAGAATCCTGGAGGAATCCTGGAAGGACGAAACCCTGGAGGAATCCTGGAGGAACCCTGTATGAATCCTAGATGAATCCTGGGGGAGTCTAGACGCAAAGCCACATCGCGCACGTGTAGCCCGCCCGTCGGTGCAGGTTGCCGGGTGTCATGAGGAATCCCAGCGGAGAGAAATCCCGCAGGAATCCTGGAGGAATCCTGGGGGAAATCCTGGACCACGGCCGCATCGTGCACGTGGGTGGCCGCATTGCCCGCTGCTGGAGAAAGGATACAACACTTTTTCCAGGTCCAGCTCCAGGCCGGGCCGGCGGGGACGAGGCGGGGCGTTGCAGGGGTCAACGCGAGAGGCCTTCGCTAAGGCACCGCGGGGCAGGCAGGCAGGCAGGCGGGCAGGCCTTCATGTGGTCCATCCGACTGCATCCGGCGGTGGGGCAACACCTTGCACGCCATCCTGCAGCCCGCTCGACCTTTCCCAAGACAGACGGCGTGTGTGTGTGTGTGTGTGTGTGTGTGTGCACGTACTGTTTTCCACACCTCCCTCTCTTGATTCGCGCGTTGTTTTGTTTTTGTTGGTCGTTTCCGCTCGGAGCGCCAGCAAAAATGCATCCCGGCCGTAATAAGCAATCTTTTTTGCTGTTGTTGTTGATGCTGCCGCTGCTGATGCAGTAGATTCGCGACCGCCGAAAAACGCTCCTTGGCAACAACCCAGAGTGTGCATTTCATCACCCACACACCCGCACACGAACGCACAGAGACCCGTCATTTCGGCGCGCAGCCCAGTCATTAGTTTCTATGGCATTCGTCGCAGTGGGGCGTTAGCAGCGTTAGCATGCTGATGAATCGATGATTTGCGTGGAGATGATGATGATTACGGTGATGAGGGCGGTGAAGCAGAAGAGGCGATGCAGGCAGAAATTTCTCATAGCGCTGCGCTCTGCGCGCTCTGCGGCGGCAAGGCGGTCGTGCTCCGGCGCCTCCAGGGTCGGACTACTTAGGCAAGATAAAGGCCGCATTTTCGTGTTTCACTCGCTTTTGCCGAGGACCTTCGTCGAGGTCTCCAGGTTTCTCTCAGGTCCTCCCTCGGCCACTCGCTGAGGCCGTGGACCAGGCCGTGGACGAGCCTGAGCGCCGAGGTCAGTAGTAAGAGAGGTCCATCCGAACGGACCGCCATGGGTCACCCTGCTTGCTACTGAGGTTTAGGACGAGGCGTTCGCTAGCCTATAGGCCCTGGACGAGGCTTTTGGCCGAGGTCAGTAGTAACGGAGGCCCATCCGGACGGACCGCCATGGGCGAGGCCATGGGCCTCCCTCAGCACCGAGGCCTCTGACGAGGCTATTTCCGACAAAGTGCAAAGTGATGCCGGTGATTGATGACGACAACGGCATCACGACGATCGAGGCGACGACGCGTCAGTCGGTTCGGCGTGCCGTTGCGTTCGGGAGTGAAATCGCAACGTCCAGATAATTAAACCGAAAAATACCGCCACTTTCGCTTCGGCCGCTGGACCGACTCCCAACTTGGAAACGGCGGCCTTGACGAGGAAATGGCGCTGGACACCACGCCGCGCCACCACGGCGCCGCCCCCGCGGTCGGGCGAGTCGGGCCCGTCGGCCGAGAGCCGGACCGCGAAAAGACGGCGCGGCGAGGCGTGGCGGCCAAGGCGCGGCCACGGCGCCCTAACTGAACGGGCCCCGGCCGGGAGTTGCCCGGTTCTGCAGACGACCCATACGGGGCGAGCGGCCCGCTGCGGCACGCTGCGGCACGCTGCGGCACGCTGCGGCACGCCGGAGAGGACGGGGCGCCCGCCGACTTGCCGACTGCGGGGGTCCACGGGGCCGCGGCCGCGCGCTTATGGGAAGTTACACCATCGTGCCGCAAGAGCGGCGCCCAAAAGGAGCGAAAACGGAGAGAAACAAATAAAAGTGGGGTTAGGGATGGACAGCGGGGGACGTAAAGACTAAGACGGGTCTCGTTTCTATTCGGTGTGTCGGTTTTGGAGGTTCCTACGTTGTCAGACAGTGAAGCGTGCAGTTGGACTTTGCATTTGGACTTGGGTTCAACTCCTATTGGTAGTGGCAAAATTAAGGTTAATCTTGACTTGTCTGATTTTTAGAAAAACGAGAGGTGGGGACGAACCTCGGGACAAACTTTTTGACACGTTTTGTGCAGCGACGCAGGATGGCCGAAGGTGTGTTTTCACTTGCTGTTTATGTAGGACAGCGGACTGGGCCGCGGAGAGGAAGCAAGTCGTTCGGCGGCGCATTTCTATCGGCCGGGAAGAAAAGGACCAATCGGGAGCGAGCGAGCGAGAGAGAAAGGACGTCCTGTTCCTTCACGCCCTGGATGAGTAAATCACCTTCTGTTTTCGAGCGCCACGCCGGCCACGCCCCTTGAGGAGAACAAGAGGGGGGAGCAGGAGGGCGGCGGCATGAGTAACGAGTCCCCATCTCTGTCACGTCCATTTCACGAGCAGTGTCCGTCCGTCGACACCGTCGGCACGCCACCGGCTCCGTACTTTTGGGCGGCCGCAAAGTCGGCGCAACAAAGACAACACACGAAAGCGGAGGTGCCACTTCTCGCGTCACCGTGTCGCCTCTGACTTCACTTTCCACTCGCGTATCATACGTGCCAATCATCAACAACAACAAGAGCCGCGTGGGCAGTCAAATGGAGCAGCGCGCTGTCCCGTTTGACTGTCCTCGTTGTCGCTGTCTGTTTTGGGGTGCCAGGCCGGGGTATCTAGCCCGCAAATTTGTTGTTGTTCTTGTCGGTTACTGTAGTGGTTGACTATGTGTTTTTCACCGGTACAAAGTAAAACCGCGCAAACAAAAACAAAAAACAGCTACAAGAAAATGCGCGCCAAGTGAGTCTGTCAATCACCTTCCGGCCTACGGGCGCCACTTTCGCTGCAGCGCAAAGCACGACGCTTTTGTTTTTGTTTTTATTGTTTTCATTGCGCAATGGTTAAAGCACACGACTCAACCCAGGTGACGAGTGCGATACCATCGCGTCGCGCGCGATTTCTCATAATTAAGAAGGAAAGCTGTGCAGCCACTTTTTTTTACGGCGAGCAATCATGCAGGAACGGGGCGCAGCGAGATTGAAGAAACGATGAGAGAAGGTGAACTGTGGCACGTGTGTCGTGTGTTTACGTTTTTGCATGTTGGCTGCTGCGGCCGTGCTGCGGTGCACCGGGGTAGTAGGCATCCCAACTAACGCCGCGCTCGCGGTCACCACACCGCAAAAAGAAAAGAAAAAACACAACAAAGATACACAGGTAGCAACACAACTGTTCATAAATATTTAATACAGAGACTTAAATCTACAACCTTAGAACACAAATAAATAGACGACGTACAGGGATAGAGCTACCAGGCTGTCTGCATTAATCACGGATGCCAACCTGAAGCTATCTCGAATGGCGTAATTACATAATTACAGGACTACGGGACGGGCCCTCTAGACAGGATGCTCATAGAACGGTACCCTCGTGGGTTAGCCGGCCCGGCCGGCTCTTCCGACAAGAACCGGATCCGCGACTGCACACGCCAGCGCGTCCGTCGCACAGCTGGAGGCTGTCTGCTGTCTCCCTCGCACCCCACCGGGTCGGCAGGGCCGGCGGGACGCCCCGTGAGTGCGAGGGAGACAGAGCGGCGTCGCCCGTGGCCGTGGACCAGCGGCGTCGGGAATACCCCACGCGCCGCGTCAGGCCGGCGATACCCCGCGCAGGGCCGCGCAGCCTTGGCGGAGTTCAAGAACGCCGCGTTGGCAATGCGGCTTGCGCGGCACACTGGATTTGCCAGGAGGCCGGTGGAGGCGGTCAAAACCCTGGGCGCGTTTCGAGCTCCAGAGTCGCTAAATGGGACTCGAACCGAACGTGTGACCCCATGGGTTGCTCTCCGAACGAGGAATCTATTGGTGGGGTCATACGTTCGCTTCGAGTCCTGTTTAGCGATTCTTGAGCTCAAAACGCGTCGAGAATTTTGGGCGCCTGCGTCGGCCTTCTGGCAGATCCACTGTGCGCGGGCCAGGGCATGTCGAGGCGTGGCGTCTCTGTTGCACACCGCCTGATACTAAGTACCGGTGGCACACACGCGTTTCTAATTGGGATAATAAATACTTAGGGCCTCTGTCTCACTCACAGTGTCGCAACGCGCCCCGCCCCACTCCACCTCGGCGCCTGCCGCTGTGTGGTCACTCCGATATTTTAGCGCGCCTAGCCGCAAACTCGCGTCGGGGGAGAAAGGAGGCTGATGTGGAGTATATGGAGCACTTTGGAGAGTTTTCCACACCGCGGGCCGCGGCGGGGAATCGAACCCGCAACCCGCCGCCCGCCGGCGCCACGCAATAACGAATTGGCTGGCAGCGACCAGCAGCGACACGCAGTCGCATCGCTCCACAAACAACAACAACACAACAGCAACTGCGCTGGACTAAAACGGCGCTGCCGTGCACTCATTGTCAGTACAGTCAACGCGAAAAGAGAATCGGAGAGGGCTTCACCGCGCGTGCCGGCCGGCGTGCTGGCCGTGCACCAGGTCGCTGAAGCGCGTCCCGGCGTGACCGTCCAGGCCGCCGTCCAGGCCGCCGTCCAGGCCGTGAGGGTCGCGCGGCAGCAGGCGGATGTTGAAGCCCTTGGGCAGGGTGAGGAAGATGTTGACGTCCGTCTGGGCCTCCACCTCGGCCATGGTGGCGCAGCCCTTGGCGGGGGCCACCTCGAAGCGGCGCAGCAGCGTGGCCAGCACCGCCTTCATCTGCAGCATGGCGTACTTCTGGCCGATGCAGTTGCGCGGCCCCGCGCTGAAGGGCAGGTAGCTGTAGGGGTGCCGGCCGGCGCAGCGCTCGGGCAGGAAGCGGTCGGGGTCGAAGCGGCCCGCGTGCTCCCACAGCGCGGGGTCGCGGTGCGTGTACACGGCCGCGACGGCGACGCAGCAGCCCGCCGGGACGGTGCCGTCCGTCAGGACGACGTCCTCCGTCACGTCCCTGGCGAAGACCGGCAGCACGGGGTACAGCCGCATCGTCTCCTTGAGCACGCGCTCCAGGAACTTGAGCCCCGTGAGCGACGAGAAGGACACGCCACCCTCGGCGCCCAGCTCCTCCACGGCCTCGGCCACGACACGCTGCTGCACCTGCGGGTGCAGCGCCAGCATCACCATCACGAAGGACATGATGGTGGCCGAGGTCTGCTGCACCGAGATGAAGGTGCGCAGCTCGCCGCGGATCTCGGCGTCGCTCAGCACCTGGTCGTCGTCCGCCTTCATCATGAGGTCGAGGAACGAGTTGCCGGCGGCGCGGTCGCGGTGCTGCTTCTTGTCCAGGATGACGCGGCCCGCGAACTCGTCGATCATGCGGTCGGCCTCCTTGAAGCGGCGCCCGTCGTCCGTCAGGTTGAACACCCAGTCCAGCAGCAGCCAGGGCTTGAGCACGCGCGTCTGCATCACCAGGAACGCGTCCTCCATGGCGTTCACGAAGGCCTGCCGCCGCTCCGGGTCCACGGCGCGGTTGGCGCTCTCGTCCAGGCCGAACGCCGTCTCGAAGATGGTGTCGTTGGTGGCGAACGCGAACGGCGGGAACACGTTGAAGCCGTCGCCGTTGACGCGCGCCTGCAGGCGGTCGGCCAGGGCGACGGCCTTCCGCTCGAACACGCCGACGTACTGCTCCAGGATCCGGAAGTGGAAGGCGGGCGTGAGGTGCTTGCGGTGGCCGCGCCACACGCTGCCGTTCAGGGTGGCCAGCCCCGTGCCGAAGAACGTCTCCACCGTGCCGTACAGGTGGCGCGGCTTGCCGATGAACTTGCCCATCACCACCTCGTAGTCCTCGGGCCGCGACAGCACCACGACGGGCAGCGGCCCCAGCCAGAGCCGCCAGGTGGGGCCGAAGCGCGCGAACATGGCCAGCCCGTTGGCCAGCAGGCGGCCCGGCGCCACCAGGTGCGGCAGGTCGCCGACGAGGGGCAGGCTGACGCCGAAGCCGGGCAGCGCGTTGAAGGCGGCGCGTCGACGCCGACCCGCGAACCGGCGCGCCGCGAAGGCCGCGAACCGCACCAGCAACAAGAAGACCGCGACCGCCGCCAGGCAGCTCAGCGCGGGGCCCATCGTGGCCAGGACGACGACGTGCACCGTGGCGGCCGGTGCATGCAGCAGAGCACAGCCAAATGGCCGCCGGGCGGAAGTAGTCCAGTCTTATAGGACGCCAGGACGCCCCGCCAGTGGCGTGCCGCGACCCGCCGCCGAGTGCAACGCCTGCCACGCCTGCCACGCCAGCAACGCCAGGCCGCGCCGCCCCGCCACGGCGACACGCCGACACGCAGCTGCGTGAGTGCGTGTGCAAGATATTGACCCGGTCGGCGCGGCGGGGCGGCGGCGCGGCACGACACACGGTGGTGGAGGCTGCGCGCCGCACCGTGCCGCACGCTCCGCGGCCTTGGGGCGGAGCGCATCGCGCGGCACGGCGGCCCGGCACGACGCCGACCCCGGGCCCCGGGCCCCGGGCCCCGCGCCCCGGACCACGTGGACTGTTGCGTCGCCGCCAAAGTCACCGCCAGCGGTGCCAGCCGACCTGCGAGTAGTGGACTTGCAGAGTGGCGGCCCGGTGGGGTGCGCGTCCACTATGTCGGCCTGGACTTGCGAATAACGCCATGGCCTCAGGTTGAAACGGACCTGCGGCAGGGGTTCCTTCGTTTTGGGGCGTCCTCTGCCTCTGGCGGCCCTTCGGTGACGCCCTGAACTCAACAACGATGACGACGACGACGACGTCACGGTGCCCCCGAGGCGCCGCTCTCGGGAAGTCCAGTTCATTGCTCTGCATGTCGTCCTCGAAGACGTGGAGGACGACCAGGAAGGGAACGCTGCCAGCCCACGCAAATAATGTCCGCTTTGGGAGTGCGTGCGTGCGGGCACGTGTTTGTGTGCGTGCGAGAGCGCGAGCGTGTGTGTGTGTGTGTGTGTGTGAGTGAGTGACTGTGGTCAAGCAGAGATATCAACAACCGGAGTCCGCTGCCCCCCCCCCTCTCTCTCTCTCTCTCTCTCTCTCTCTTACACACACACACACACACACACACACACACACACACACGACACGACACGTCCACCGCGCAGTGTCACCGATAGTGCATTCCAGTGATTTAACTTCCTTTCCGAGCCTTCCTTACAGTGAACTCGGCCGCAGGAATCTTCCGCCGGCAGTGCACTGGCTTGGCTACGCAGGCGTCAGGAACTCGCTGTGTGCGGTGACATACCTTGCGACGTTCTCTGTTAGGAACGGCGGCGTGCCTGTGGACGCCGTGGACGCCCTGCCTGCCGCGAGCTTCTAGCGCCTGACGACTCCGGGGTAGGCAACCCGGTGCGCGCGGCTGTGGGAGGGTTGCCTAGCCTCGGTAGCGCAGGCGCTTCGGGCCACGGCGCCGGGTAGGCAACCCGGTGCGCGCGGCTGTGGGAGGGTTGCCTACCCTCCGTAGCGCAGGCGCCTTGGCTTCTCGGTTTTAGGAGGCTGGACAACAATTGATCGCCTGCCATTTCGGGCCACGGCAGTCATTAGCAATGTGAGTGTTTGTTTTCAGTCTTTGCTTCCGACCGTACTGACGTCACTGCTTTACTTGAGGTGCCACGCCACTGCAGGCTGCCGACGCAGCGATGCACTCCGGGGCCCTGGGCAAGGCCCTGGGGGTCGAGGATCGGGAGACAAAAACCACGCCGAGGAAACCGATCTGATCGACGCAGTTCTTTTTTTGGCGCTCACCTTGCGACGTCAGCACGGCGGGTGCGGCGGCCTGGGCCGGCGCCACCAGGATGGGTCCCGTCTTGGCGGCGAGCAGGCGAGAGGCCAGCAGCGGCGACGGCGTGGGCTCCAGCAAGCTCCTGCAGCAACAAAGTCGGCATTGTTGGGACGTACAGTGGGTCAGAAGACCCTGAAAATCCTGGACGCGTTTTGAGCTCCAGAGTCGCTAAGGGAGTCGTATTGAACATGTGATCCCACCAATGGATTGCTCTCCGAATGAGGAATCCGATGGTGGGGTCACACGTTTGGATTGAGCCCTGCTTTGCGACTCTGGAGCTCCAAACGCGTCTAGAGTTTTGGCCGCTGCGCCTGTCTTTGGGCCAGGACGGCACTGGCAGCGCACCTGAGGCTGTTGAGGTCCTGCTCGTGCTGGTCCAGGATGCGGCGCGTCGTGTCCAGGATGCCCGTGGAGTAGCTCTCGTGCCGCGTGAACTTGCACCGGGAGTCCCCGGGAGGCCCGCAGTGGAACATGTAGCACGTCCCAGGACTCTGCAAAAAAACAACAACAACAAAAAACATAGAAAAAGAAGCACCTGCCTGCCAAACGGCAGTCTCGTTGCCGCTAGAGGCGGCTGCTATCAGTTTGACCATCGCGAGCGGCGCGGCGGCGCGGCGAGCGCGATGGTCATTGTCATGGAGAAAGGCAGACGGGTCCGCAGATGGCCCCGCAGATGCGACGCGCGGATGCGGACACTCTTAACGACGTTGGTATTACCGAGGCTCGCCGAGGCGGGACTTGACTTTCGCGTCATCAGCCGCGCAGCCGCGCTCTCTGTTCCCGGCTCAGCCGGCGAAGCAAAAACGCCACAATTTGCCGGTTCTTCTAAATATTAATATGGAAAAACTATCCGTTTTTTTTGGTGAGGCGGGAGCTGAAACGTGTCGGCTAACGAACGACTAAGCACAGCATCTCTTAATAACCATGTGGCAACGGCTGCGGAAATGCCGCAACCAGCGTAAGGTTTCAAAAGTTTTTGGGCCACTCTGCTGTGGAGTGGTCCGCAAGGAGCGTATTTCGTCGCCAGCCGTACAGTCGTCCGAATCCGAGCAGTGCTTCCAGACGCTCTGTCTCTCTCGCACGCTTACGGAGCGATCCACGAGTGCGAGAGAGACAGAGAGCCACGTGGAGGGACTCCGCGCAGTCCGTCTTCGCCTCTAGGCAAACAACGCGCGCCGATCGAAAAGCTTTCTTCTGTCCCTGCCTCCCCCTCCTTTATCACAATCACTACGGCAAACATGTGGAGGAGGAGTGATTGGGTGGCCCACTGCAACACGCTGCCCGCCTCTGCGATGTTGGCAGCGCGGCCGCGCGGTTAAAGGGGTCGTTCTCCGTCCGTGAGGTCGCAAGTTCAAACACCCGGTAATTAACTATGATTTTTTTTGGAGCGATAAACTTTACAGTAGTCTTATTTAGAGTGTCCTCGTAACATAGTGGCGCAGAACCGCCACCCGGCCCTGCAGTGCAATTTCCCAGGGGGGACGAAATTTGAACCCTGGACTAGGGACACCCCGCCCCGCCCCGCCCCGCTAGACGAGCCCCGAGGTGTTCCGTTCCGGAAGGCGCTTGGGCACTGCAAGACAACCTTGAACGGAACTCGACAACGCACCAAGCCGCCAAACAGGCTGATTCCGAAGACCCGTTTCGTCTCCTTGTCTCTGTCGCACGCACGGGGCCTTCTGTGTGAGTGCGAGAGAGACAGAGCGGCGAAACGATCCTTTCGGCATCGCTCGGACGTTCAGGAGCGCTGGCCGGGCGGCGAGCCCAACGGAAATTTCCCCCAGTGTCGCAGTGTTGCAGCGGTGGGAATCCCCCTGAGTGGCGGTTGGCCAGGTAACGGGCGTAAGACCCCGAGCAGCGCCTTAACGGCCAGCGGGGCTCTTATCACTGTTCGGCAGAGTGGCCAGCGCACATAGGGCCCGAACACCGGTAGAGGCAGTCAAAATACCGGACGTGTTTTGAGCTCCAGAGTTGCTAAATGGGACTTGAACCCAACGTGTGACCACCATCAATGGATTGCTCTTCGAACGAGGAATCCATTGGTGGGGTCACACGCTCGGTTCGAGTCCTGTTTAGCGCCTCTGGAGCTCAAAACGCGTCTAGAGCTTTTACCGCCTCCACTGGTCCTCTGGCCCACTGTGCAGCTTAGCCCATCCGCCTGATTCCGAGGGATCGTCTAATCGCTCCGTCTCTCTCGCACTCATGGGGCGCCCCTTAGGATTGCGAGTGAGAGAGAGCGACGAAACGATTCTTTCGGAATCAAGCAACAGCCTATCCAGCAGCCAGAAAACGGAAATGGAAGCGAGAGGCGATTGATACGAGAAACTCCTGCCGAGAGGGGTCGTCGCGGAGCGCGCATCCTGGCGCATCCTCGCACGGAGATCTCCCACAAGACAAAGTATGTGTTATTGTTGCGTCTGCGACTATCTGGCCGACATCTGGGCGTCCAGTTCTCATTAGACAGAGAGAAAGAAGGGGAGACTACAGAAGAGCAGAAAGAGGAGAGAGAGAGAGAGGGAGAGAGAGAGGGGGGGGGGCATGTACGCTGGAGTACAAACCCTACATCTCCTGGCAGTGTCCCCATGTGTATGCCATGATTTCCCCCGGGTGCCTACCCCTCTCTCTCCATTCGTCAACATCCATGATTAAACCGTTCCGGCCAAGTCGGGATTACTTTCTGTGTTTACCGGTGTGTTGTTGTCACAGCACATCTAGCACACCATGCCCACAAAGAATGCACGCCGAGAGATTCTGGTCGGTAACAGTGGCGCTAACGAGTTTCTCGCAGTGTAGCGAGCGAGCAACTGAGAGGCACAGGAAGAGGTTAGGACGGCCACTTCCTCGTCGCCACCGTCGCCACCAAGGTGTCGCCACCCACCCCCACTTGCTGGAATATAGGTTAGGGCGGCACTCGTAAAACACACAATGGCCGATGGGCTCGGCAAGGCTCGGCCCGTGTTTTGTCTCTGTGGCGAAAAACGTGGACCGACTCGCCCGACACGCGACCGGACCAGCGCCCAGGGCTAGACCGACTGTTCGCCACGTTTTCGCCCACCGAAGCCGAAACACTGTGGTTCCCTACGACGTCAAAACAACAACCCCCGTCGGCCGACCAGGTCTTTTTTTGCCGCCACTCGGCTGCCCACCTGCTTCTCCTCGAAGACGAACACGTCGCACTTGTCCGTCTCGCAGCACAGGCGCAGGCACTCCTCCCGGGTCAGCACGTCCTTGACGGCCAGGTTGACGGCGCCCATGCGCTTCGAGTCCTGGGTGCGGATGATCTGGTCGCGCTGCACGTCGAAGTTCTCGACGCAGGTCTGCAGGTCCAGGTCGTAGCGCTTCCGGAGGCGCAGCGGCCCCGACGGCGACCCCGGGGGGCTCGGGGGCAGCTCGCCTGGCGCGACGCCCGCGACGGCCGTGAGGGCGGCCAGCACGACGGGCGCGAGCACCGAGACCACGGACACGGCGGGCATGGCGACGGCCGACGCCAACCTCAGCGTCCGCACGGAGCGCACGGACGCCCTGTCGACGCACGAGTTTTTGTTGTTCGACGAGTCCGAAGTGACTCCAAGTGCTGCCAACCCTCGGCCGCGCTGGGCCTGCGCGGAGTTGCGCCCCAGCTGGCTCGGGAGGGCTGCGTGCGGGGCGGCAGGCCCTCCTCCCCTTCCGCACTGCGGGGCGCAGGGCAGCCCGCCGCGGTTCGGACGCGCCCGCCCCGCCAGGTGGAGGGGGTGGAGGGGCCGGGGGAAAATCAATAGCCGCAACCTATGCAGGCTGCCCGCCGTGTCTGTGTCACCGCCAAGCCGAAAAGCGAGCCTCTCCACGGTAACCATGCGCCATAAGAGCACCGCCACCTGCCCGGGTGCAGTGCACCAGGCCGTGGCTGTCGTTTCCACAGTGCAGCCGCAGCCCTGCGATGTGAGCCCTGCGCCCCCGGTGGCCTGCTGGACGTGCAGTGCGTCGCCAGCGCGGGGTAGCGCGCGGAGTATTCACAGCGAGCGCGTGTCGCCGCAGGGCCGCAGGCAAGGGGTATCGCCGCCAGCGCGCGCGCCACCTAGCGGCCGCGCCGCGAAGCGCTCGCGCGCGCGTCGTTCAAGCCAGACGGCGAAGCGGCGAGGCGAAGGGGAGGCGCCGGGGACGGGGACGGGGACGGGCGGGGGCGGGGTGCCTCTACACTGCTCTCCGCGCTCCGCCGCGCTGCGCTCCGCGGTCCGCAAAGGCACAGCCGGGCACAGCGCCGCGTCTGCCACCAGTCTGGCCGCCGCCCCGCCACGCGCACCAAGCCGTACCCGCGCGCCCCGAGCACCGCGACCGCGTGCCGCCGCGTAGCGACGCGTAGCGAGCCAGCAGCACCGACGTGCAGCCCGTCGGGGACGCGGACGAGTGTGACAGTGTAGTGGCCGTCCGCGCCTTGCCGTCGACGAGCCTTCTGGATTACCCCGCCGAGCAGCGCAGCAGCGTCGCCGCGACACTCCAGGAAGCCGGTGAGGATGGCGTTGGTTAGGCCTCCAGGGGTAGCAGGCGGCGGGCCAGGCGGCGGGCCAGGCGGCGGGCCTCCCCCAACCCGCATCGCGCCGCATCGCGCCGCATGGGATGCTGGAGGCACGCCTGGAGGGGCTGGAGGGGGCGCCCCCGCCCGGGTGGGGGTAGGTGGGGGTAACTAGCAGAAGGGGTGGCGAGGCTCGGTCCTCACGCTTTCCCTCTCTCTCTCTCTCTCGCTCTCGTGTGATGCAGCCCCGGCCCCTGCGGCACCCCCAGCCTCCGGACGCACAAGGTGGTCCCAACGACGTCCCTTTATTGGTCCCAATCGGTGGTTCTTCGCCAACAGCCGAGTGACAGTCTGGGGGAAAGCCTGGGGCAGGAAGGCCGGGGTGGGCCAACGCTCCATTCCTCGTGTTTGACCAAGTCAACGCACTTCACCATGCACGCGGGACAGTCGGCCGGGAGTTTATTGAACCACACCAATTACCAGTGCCTCCGACAGCACACTCTATTTTGACGGGAATAGGCGGCGCGCTTATCGGGGCCAATCGGGGCATCCCCTGCGGCGCCCCGCCCCGCCCCGCTGCCGCGACACTGTTGTCCCCGCCGCGTTGCCAGAGGAGCCAGGCCAGGCCAAGCCAAGCCAGGCCCGTCAACAAAGACGGACGCCTTTTCGGAGACGCAATCGATTGTTCGAGTCTGTGCGTGTTGGCAGCCCTGCTCGCAGCCCTGCCAATATCGGCCCGATCGTTCATTACAGTGCCACACGCGGTGCAGGGCCCCTAATTCGAGGGGCTACACAGTGTTGCCAACGGCGGCAGAGTCTCTCCCTCTCTCGCCCTCACGGGGCGTCCTCGAAGGGCGCGAGAGAGACAGCGACGAAACGACACTCGGAATCAGCCTGCAGGCGGCCAGGCCGGGCCAGGCCGTCCAGGGGGAGGCTGGCTGTTGGCACGGCCGGCACGGCCGGCACGGCCGAAGCCGTTAAGTGCCGCCAACCTAACGAGATTTTACGACGGACGAGCGCGGGGACAACGCACCCGGCCGCTGCAATGCCAAGGCAGTGCTGCAGAACAGAACGGGAGGACGCTCTGTGATCTGCGTGTCCCTGGGTGGCACCCCTGGGTGCCCCGCCGATGGGCAGCGCTCCATCTCGATCGCCTCTCCGCCGCCGCACAGTGGGCGAGAAGACTGGCGCAGGCGGACCTAGCCTAACCTAACCTAACCAGAGCCGCTGTATGAGACACGAACCGAACGTGTGACCCCACCGATGGATTCCTCGTTCGGAGATCAATCCATTGGTGGGGTCACACGTTCGGTTCGAGTCCCATTTAGCGACTCTGGAGCTCAAAACGTGTCCGGGATTTTGGCCGCCTCCACCGGTCTTCTGGCCCACTGTGCTCCGCAGACCACTTGACCTGAAACAGGACCGCGCCAAGGCTGCGCCAAGGCTGCGCCAAGGCTGCCAGGGTCGATTCATGCTTCAGGGACGAAGTACCACGAAGGCTGGCACGGCCCGAAGGCTCGAAGAAGCCAGCGGCCTATCTAGAGGCAGTTGGCCCGGGCTCTGTTTTGTGTTGTCTGTCCGACCCCAGCCACGTGCGGCTTCTTGCGGCAGGGGTGGCGCTACACGGCAAAAGGGGGGTGGGGGCTGGGTAGAGGTGAGAGGGAATAGGGAGGGGGGATCCTTTCACTCAGTGATTCCTCACGATCCGCTGCGCACCCCGCTGTCAGCTGTGGTCTGGAGCGCACTGGAACTCACTGGAGCCTGCCGGAACTCACTGGAGCCTGCCGCGAAGCCTGTTCGGACTCACTGCAGACCACTGGAAATCACTGGAGAGCTTACTGGAATTCACTGCAGACCACTGAAAACTCACTGCAGACCACTGGAAATCACTGGAGAGCTTACTGGAATTCACTGCAGACCACTGGAACTCACTGGAGAGCCTGCTGGAGAGCCTGTTGGGTCTCATCGGAGGTGGTCGATACAGTTTCTAAATAAACGAAGAGAAGCCCACTCCACTGGTGCGAGGAATTTCTCGGCAATCATATCGAGTTAGAAGATTCTCGGTCCTGATTTGATTTTCTGGCGAGACTGGACGTCCCCCCCCCCCTCTCCTCCCCAAGTCCCAGCCCCTGCTCAATCAGCCTGCGCAAACGTCGCGTTATCGGGAACCACTCTGGGCCTGCCTGCAGGGGTTAGTGGTGGGATGGGCCCCGAAAACGCGAATCGTTTTTTTGGACTGCACCCAAGTTGGAACCCGAGCGCTGCTGTCTGTCCCGACCTATCGGTGCGATGCGTGTGCAGGTCTGTGCGGGGGTCTCAGGGAGAGAGAGAGAGAGAGAGAGAGAGAGAGAGAGAGAGAGAGAGAGAGAGAGAGGACGCGTCTGCTTCAGCTTGGTCGAGACTCGACGATGACGCGCTCAAGTTAGTCGGAACAAAGTTTTGTGCCAAAATGCCGAAACGTCGGCCAAACTAATCCGAGCCGCTGGGACTCGAACCCGGGGCCAGCGCTCCCGCGGCCAGCCCTCACGAGATAACGCAGTTCAGAGGGCTAAAGTGCGCCACTCTGGGAGCCTAACGTGGTTATGCTGCTTTTACAACGCAAAATGTGCCCTGATTCCGTTTCCCGCGGGAAACTGCAAAACCGTGACGGACTAAAATATGCAGGGATGACGGTGTGCCCCCCGCACTCTCAGGCGTGGTCGGGTGTGTTACCGACAGCACCGGCCTCGACCACGCCGTCCTTGTCAAACCGGGGAGGCACCTTCGACGACAAACAGGCCTGCTAGTCTCATCCGAAGGGCAGCGCCTGGCGCAGTTTTTGAACAACATGGATTCAAAACAAGCCCTTAACCGCCCTTAACCTTTCAGAAAAACAAGCGCTAAAAAAATAAAGAACGAAAAAATAATAATTAAATGAAAATTACATGGCTCTGGGATGGTCCCCCGTGCTTTATGCTGTGAAGCCTCCATGGAGCCCTGCCGGGCCTGCCGGGCCCTGCCGTTAGAGCGTGACGCCACGACGCACGCGCGCTCGCTCGCGCACGCACACGGATGCACGCACACACGCGCAGCGCACGCACACGGACTCGCGCTCACGTACACAAATACAGCGCGCACACCTCGCGGGACCGCGTGCGTGCCGGCCAGAGGGGGAGAACTAGGATGATACTCATCCACGAAACAGGTGGCCAAGTAGAACAACACGTTATTTCATTTCCGTTTATCTGATTTTATGTGCATTTTTCTCGAATCCATTAGAAAACGCATTCTTAAAAAAATATGGAGCCGCGGCTTTCAGCGGGGCAATCAGCCTGCCATCACTTTCTATGCTAAGATGCGGCTCAAACGTTCCTCGGACGATTCTATAAGTTTGAACATGACTCTGTTTTGGTTTGAAATCGGAGACGCCCCCTGTTTGACGCGGCTTCGTGACACTACGCCGTTTTGTTCTGCCTATGTTGGTTTTTTGCTGTGTCGTAAATTGCTGCCAGCTCGTCCGATCCCACGACGAAACGCAGCAAAACGGAGCTTCGCGGCGGAATAATTTCCCCCTGCAGTCTGCGGTTCGCTCACACCCTACTTCACAGCGACCCTCCGGCCGACCTCCTTGTCTCAGACTTTGCTCCGCTCATTGAATGTGAATCTTGATACACGCAACAACACCAGCTGCACCGAGAGATAACCTCCCCGTCCGTATTGATATTGCGCTTCGGCCGGCGACTGTACTCGGGTTATTTCTGAACGGACGTTGGTTAGGCGCGTCACGGTAAAGCACTGCTTTAAAATCGGCTTTGCGGCCCTGGCGGCCCTGGCACCGCGCCCGCCCCGGCAGCATTATTTTCTGTTTCTTTCCCTCTGGAAGCGAGAAGGCTGGAAACGCGACCGCCGGGCCAACGGGGCCAACCCTTCGAATCATGCAAATTGCGCGGCCTTGGGCGCCGCAGCAGCGTCACACCATCGCGCCTCTCTGTCGCACCCGCGCCT